CAATTTCTTACAATATTTATTCATATTTCGACTTTTTCCATCTAGTTAAATTTGATCTTTCAACTAGTTAGACTGAATTACCCAATACTCATTATTATCATTATTTTTTATTCATAAAGCATTTTCCTTTGGTTGTATCATAAAAAATAAAATTTTATATATTTTTCTCAAATAACATGTAAGAATTGATTTTATACGATTCACTAGAAATATCCATAAATTACGTTATTACTAATACAATATGAATTAGGTAATATGTCTTTCTAAAAATAGGCACATCATGTGTCATTTATTTACTTTTTTGCCACAAATATCATATTTTCTAAATAATTTATTTTTTGAACCATTTGTAAACGACCCATCCAGTCGACCAATAGGAATAAAAATGATTATCACATCCAATTATTGATGGATGATTGGCGAAGTTGTGATGTATTTAGTCATTGTTTGTATTAACAAATTATCTGTCATCATTTTGGTCATAATCATTAATCAAGTGTAGCCAAATAAAGCTATAGCTTTGCACCTGCTCCCAGCTGCAACTTGTTGATCATAATATGGCAAACCCCGTTGTGTCGGATCTTGTCTTCATCACTGCCGTATATGGAGCAATTTGAGCTTTGTTAACCATTCACAATTAACAAGTTGGTGTTTCGGTGATTAAACTAAGTACCCACCGGTGACGAAGCTACGTACGACTGACTAGTGACTGCTCCACTCGCCGGCCACCTAACCCAACACAACTATAAACAATGACTAGCTAGGAGATAATAGTAAGGCCAATAGTGCATAAGTGATCAAATGCAAAGGCTACTTAACATGGATGCCAGGAGGTATTGAGTGGGTTTCGCTGTTAAACTGATTCACTTGTTTACCAACGACTTGGTACAAAAGTGATCCGCAATCAGGGACTGAGCGGGAGGAAAAATTAATGGTAAATTAAGTATAATAGTTAATCGGGTATGAAAAAAAAATACATATTTAAATGAGAACGGTTGACTTTCAAACATTTTATGTATGATTTATAAGTTGTGTATTGGCATATTCAATGTTTTTATAACGAGCTATGTACAAATGACAATGGTGCATATGATCCGCCTAAAACTAAAGATGTACTTAATTATTTAATATCTACAACAAAATTTCACCAAATCATAGCTCATTTGTAAAAATAATTTTCTTTCAATAAGGGGTAGGGAGTGTGTAAGGGATGGCGCCTAAGGACGAAATAAGTACATTTTTATAATAGTTCATTGCGAATAAAGTTTAGGGCGCTTCTAATTGAGAATGATTGACCGAGTGATCATGTGTTCAAATCTTGGGGACCCCATTTGTTAAGCACATGATATTTAGTTCTGCGAAAACTTTAAGCATGCAAAGGTTGGTTTTCGTTAGCGGGGAAGTGTTAGTAAATACTAAATAGTATAAAATTCATTATGAAATCTTTCCCAACAACTCGAGTTATTGATATCAAACGGTCTTGACAAAGAACACCATTCAAAAGAAAATGTTTTACTCAATCATGAATAATTGTTTGATACATTTAGAGTGATATTCTTGATAGTTTTGACATATATTTAATTTACCAAGTTTTGTAAATTCAAAATTATGTCATGAATGATTTAAAAATCTAACAAAACTATTTTATCGTATGTATTTTTTCTAAATGGACCTACCATCGACAAAATTCTGGCGACGCTCATGCTCGCAACTCACCCACACACTTCCTCGGATTGGGTTGGGTGGATGGCGGATTGATGCAGTTGGTTGTGGGTTAACACGCAAACACGATTCTATAATTGATAATTAGACAAGTTGACTAGCATCTATAATAAATTCCTCACAAATTAGTAAGACTAAATCAATTTAGATACCTCTCAATTATTCTCCTATGGAAATGTCAAGTACTTGTATCAACTCTTTCGTAACTTCATCAACCAATTATGTAGAAAGTTTCATTTTTTCTTACTTAGATACAATTAATAGTTTATAATTTGTATCTCGTTACCTAATGTACATTACATAACATAGTGACCAATAGTAGTAGCCAATTATATTCTTTATTTTCCGCCTTTAGAAGTTGATGTTCAATGTGCATTGCCGGTTAAGAAATAAGATGACTATTAGGATTCGGTAGTATAACAAGAAACAACTATTGCTTATGTAAGAATGGTGTGCGGAATCACTCACCCGATAAATACAGGTTGGAGATTTACCGATCCACAATCCACCCACATGAATCACCCATCCGTCGCGATTTAAGTTATTTGCAGGTGGATCGATGCTTAACCGCGAATTACCAACCTACATGCCCACCGCTACCTCTAGATGCCATGACAAACGGCTTTTCCGCCATTCAAGAAATTTGAAGGTAGGCTGGACAACGATTAATTAGCAAATGACCTATCAAAATGACGTTGGAAAATCAAGTGGCCTCAGATTGTATACATATATATATATGGAATAAGAAAGACTAGAGTTGGAGACTCGGAGTTTAATACATCATTTAAGAAAAACAAAATCTAGTAACAGATTTGGTGTATACATAAATCACTCAAAATAATATAACGAAATTCACTTTTTTTAATGGTTTTTTTTTTATGGTGTAAGGAAATAAACTTTGTTTTCGTAATTAGTTGGAGACTTGGAGTTTATTACTCTATCCTAATACGAACCGGCACATAAACAAAATCTAGTAGCATCAGGCAAACATTTTCCGATTTAATGATTGTATTTTTTTGAAAATAAATATCATGCAAAGTGACAGGAAAAATGCATAATGCTTTTGACACAATGCAACTCGATTACTTACTAACATCATCCCCATACTAATTCACACGACACAATTCAAATATTCCACCACTACAATATATATGTTGAGACACTCGTAACAAATGCTCGCAAAATTAATACGAGTTTGTTCTGGTGGTACCATTGTTTCGTCTTTTTTAACATGAAAAACTCCAAGAATATATAAACTTCTCCCTCACTGCACGCCCCTTTCATAGTCATTAAAAATAATAATCTATCTATCTACACAATATATTAGGCATTTCACTCTATGTCATTGTTGCCACCTTGCACTTTGATTGGTTCTCCTTATTTGGTGGAAGGGCAACTTTGACAATTTTTCAAACACTCAAGGGTCACTCATTATTATTGGACTTTTGGTTTTCTTTTTAGTAAATGCGATTAGGATTAAGGAAAAAGAAGATTTGTTTTAAGGTAAATGCTACATAATAATTATTTGAATTTTGCTCTGTGTAGATTTATTTTAAGGAAAAAACAGAGGCTATCTAAAGTTGTTTAACTCCTAAATGAGATAATGCTTGCGAATTGGATTTTGAGATGATAAAGATGATATAACGTTGTGGCGTGGATGTTTGGGAAGAGGTTCCTTCGGAATAGGTTTTTTCGCATTAGGGTTTTACGTTAAACAGATAAACCAAGCATCAACCTTCAAAAGTTTTAGAATCTTCATTTCACAGTGATTTCGGCAAACATGAAGAGGAAGAAAGACGGGAAATCTTGGCAAAATACAATCAATTTATATTGTTTTAAATTTTTTTAATTTTCAAATTAGCATGTATAATTTTTACATTAAATTTTGAAAGGTAAGATCGCATGTTTAGTCGTAGGTTAAACAATAATTCGATCCATATCGTACCGACTCGATATTTGTGTCGAATTAGATCAAACCAAAAAAAATCAATTTTATACTATATGTAATTGCTTAAAATCGAGATAGTTTTTATTAGAAAATTATTAAACGTAAAATATGGTCCAATGGAATAACTTAAATGCTTCTTCAACCTAACTACGTTGTTATTTACATCTGAATAGTTCCATTAACGATTAAAAAATAGTTGTATAATGATAAACCATTAATCATGAGTCATTGAAATTTTTCATCCGACAACCTCTCCGTTTTTGAAAATATAGGACATAGTCAATAAAATATTTAAAATTATGAGCATATTGTTAAAGGTTAAGTTTGAATTATGATAACTAAAGTTCAAATGATTGAATAACTTAAAAGGGCCATTTCAAGTCAAAATATTCTTTTGCTAATATTTTTCATTTTTGTCTCTTTCAAAAATATAAATTTAATACATCTATACTAATATTTTTGGATTTGCTTTACATAATTTTCCAAATAATCTATTTCCATATCACATTTCTCCTCGAATTTCTGTATCTTTAAACTATTTAAATGTAATACATCTATAGTAATATTATGTACATTATTTACTTTTTAGTTCAATAGAGGACAATCAACTATATTTAAATTAAAATAGTAATAAAATTTTCAAAGCTTCATTTGCAAGGTAATTATTCACATATAACGAAGATAAAAAAATTTTGTTGGTTTTTTTTTATTCAGTGATGTTTAATATCTCAAGGCATGAATATAGATTCCGGATAGTTTTTCATTTCATTCGTTGTCTAACTTAAATTTCTTATAGTTAAGTATAAAATGAAATACAAATTCAATAAAATTATAAAGTTAACGGGCACTAAAAAACATAAACTATCAAAGTACTTTTTTGTACCACCAATGCACAATACTAAAAATCGAACCACCTACGTTTAACTAAAAAAAATACCCAAATGACCACAAACCGGCCAACGGGCCGGATACAACACTAGTAATAAATAATAACAAATGCTCAACATGTACATGAATATTTCCAATTGCTATAAAACAAAAAAAAAAAAGTTTAACAACCATCATGTTAAACCTCCTTAAATACGACCCAATTGCATGAGCATATTTTCCCCAACGATGCTCGAGCAAATGCAGTCGGCACATGCTTCCAAAGAGGCTGGCCGGTCAGCAAACTTTGTACTAGATTGCCCCGGCCCGGCCCTGTCGGCTGTCGCTATAAATATAACCCACTAGTTATCCTCGCCATGCACAAGAACAACAGCCCAGCCCTAGAAAGTGTTCATTAAAAACAAAAAACAACCCGAAAAGTGTTCAACAACAAGAACAAAAAATGGTTCTAACAATCCCATCATCACTTCTCGTTCCAAGCAATTTCAGCCACCACCACCTCTCCTCTAATGCCACAACTCATCCCATGATCGACTCATCACCACCGGCAGGAATGATAGTCGCCGGCGACGAGATTCCGACGATCGACTACCTCGCCCTCTTCTCCGCCGACCCTAACCGGCGGTCCACGGTCATGGACCGCCTCTCCTTAGCATGTGAAGACTACGGCTTCTTCAACGTACGTGTATATAAGAATTTCATGCATTTGTTTAGGGTTTCCAGCGACTTGAGTTTTGGTACAGAAAAATAAGTGGTCTAATTATATGTGAAAATGCATGCAGCTGGTGAACCACGGGATAGAGGATGGAGTGATGGATGACGTGGTGAGGGGGATATCGGATTTCTTGGGGGAGACGGCAGTGGAGGAGAAGAGCAAGTACAAGGAAGTGCATCCAGGGGCTAAGATTCTCTGGGATTCCAATTGTCACGCCGGTGAGAATCGGGAATATCTCAAGCTCGTTGCCCGCCCACAGTTCCATTGCCCGCCTGATCCTCCATCCTTCAGGTATGAACATAACAGAGCGTAGAATTATTGCATACATGATAATAAAAATATACGAACCGTCATTTTGTCACCTTTTATCACCGTACGCCGCCAGTTACCACTCTATCCACTTTCAATGGCATGCGTGTAACTTTTTTTTTTAATCTTTACTGATCCACCTTTTTTGTTGTTGTTGTTGGTGAATATGTATAGGGAGGCTTTGGGGAAGTACCAAACCAAATTCCACGAAGTGAAGCTGGGCTTGGCTAGGGCTATGTCCCTAATCTTAGGGCAGGAAGAGTCCTACATCGAGAATGCTCTCCATCTGGAGTCGGGCTTCGACGTCGCTGCCATGAATGTTTACCCACCAAACTTGCACTCGAAGGGCACCATTCGGCTTCCTGAACACACCGATCCGGGCTTCATCGTCTCCCTCGTCCAGAACATGGACGGTGGCCTTCAAATCCTAACCCATCAAGGAAAATGGGTCAACGTCCACATCCCTCCCAGCGCCATCCTCATCCAAGTTGGGAGCATTTAGAGGTATAATATATATATAGTAATAATATATATGCGTATACGTCTAGCGTATATACCTACGTTCACACTTTTTATATGTACTATGGTATATGGTATATTTTGATGAATCAGAACCGTTTGTTATTAACTTTTATAATTAGTTGAAATTTATGGTTCGGATTAGAGAGAAATTCACCTATTAAAAGTTAGGTATAGAATCGTTCCCAAATGACAAACTAGTTTCCACGCCATGTTATACTATGACAGAATCTTGGCTTCACGCAGTTTTTTTTTTATGATTAGTAAGATATAATTTAGAATACAACATCTTGCTGTTTTAATATAAAGTCCTTCTAAAATGATTGGAAAATGCATATGCATCCATTGTAGCTTAGATAATGATCATAAGCAAGGCAATTCTTTCTTATGATATAAAGCAAGTCTTTTTCACTTCTTAGATCCTCTTTTTTCTTAAAAAAATAATCTAGATCCTCTTAAAGTTAGGTAGGTTCAATAGTCCAGGTTGAAACATGTCCTTACTCCACTAATGTTATTTTCAGTCTTATATTTTTCTTCATTCAGATCAAATTTCAGACTTTTTCATTTTGAAGTAATAAAATTCTGTGGAATTTGGAGAAAAATATCAAAGTCGATGTTTTTTAGAACATAAAGTGTGAGCGGGTCCGATTACATACTCCCGGTCAACATGCCCTATGTTTATTTTTCACGGTAAGAAATGAAATGATGTCAAGTGTTGAAGCTCGAATAATTTTTTTTGTCCCAAAAGATATCAAAATAAATATGAATTTATGGTCATAATTAATGAGTTTATTTTGTATACGTCATGCAATTGTTTGCTAACTTAGAAGGTAAATTTGTTCTTTCAATCAAACTTTTCTTCAATGCACCCTTTCAATCATGTAATTTATATGATAATTTAATAATTCTTCTTTTTGGCCAGAATTATTTTTTGTAGCGAGGTTATTACAATAACCATAAAATTTCGTATGGACAGATTCTAACGAATGGCAAGTATAAGAGTCACATTCATCGTGTGTCGGGCAACTACAAGGCAAAAAGAATCACCATGGTCACACTTCATGGGCCATCTGAAAACAAATTTGTTGCTCCGGGTCCAGAATTTGTGGATGATTCCCACCCGCTGGCTTACCGTGGAATGACATACTCGGATGGGTTGAAAGCCAATGGTCATTATGAGATTGAAGTTCAATCATGCATTGCACAACATAGAACTCTTCTACCCTAGTGAATGCTTTATGTATGGTATGGTATTATCACTATGTCATTATATGTACGGTAGGGATTCATATATATTTAATTTTTATCAGTTTTTGCTTGAATTTATTATATTTTTAATTTCCTTTTAAAACATCCATTACCAATCTTCCACTAAGAAGGGAAATTAGAAGGCCTCTTCTTATATAAATAGTTGAGTTGCCTAACTCTAATATACGGAGAGAAAAAAGAGAGTTAACACAAAAGACTATTCTTTAGAGAGCTCCAAATTTTGCACAACCAGAGAGTCAAAGAGGCTGACTATTTTAACATGCAGGAGACCGACTAACAGTCTGTTATGTGTAATATGAAGTATCGTTGTGAAAGTCTTAAAAAGAGAGACCTAGCCCATGACTCAGGCAGATAGATAACTAATGCCCTTTTTTTTTTTGTTCGGTGTTTAAAATTTCTAAGACGTTGTGCTGCCACCATGGCTACCAAACATAATATAGTGTCTGGCTCAAGCGATGTCAATTTCCCCTTACGTTTCTAGTTTCAACACTAGTTCCTATGTGCATGAGTCATATGATTCTGTCTATTCTGAACTTTGGCCAAATTAGTTCTCAGAATGCTAATCAGCCTTTGTGGTTGTTATAGCTTGTCTGCCACAATTGCTACTGATGTAGATAAAGGATTCTCAATAGAAATTTGTGAAGGAGAATAGTCATATAGGAATTTAAAGGTAGTGATATGCAAACTATACTATGAAAATTTGTATTATACCACCATTCATCCAAGTTAAGCCAAACATCCCATGTATAAGGAGTGTGATGCATCATACCACTAAGACACTCTTCCAAGCATTTGTCTGGCCATTTGTTTGTGGATGGTAAGCTGTGAAATAGTAAAGCTGGACTCCTTGAAACTCAAATAGTTTGGATGATAATGAGCTAGTGAAGAGGTTATCACTATCAAACAATAGTTTGTGGCATCCGATGGGGCTTGAAGACTCAATCAAAGAAGACTTGAGCTACAGACATAGTTGAGCATTGTATGAAAAGACTGAAGAGAAGTGACCATATTTGGAGTACCTGTTCACTACCACAAACGCCACTTCATTTACCTAGGACTTGGGAATCCCTTCACAAAGTCCAAGGAAATGTGCTAACAAGCCTTATCAGGTAAAGGCAGAGGTTGTAGAAGTCTTGGATATGGCAGATTCTCTACCTTGCATCTCTGACATGACATACATCCCACACACTAACAAAATTCTTCAAGTCACTCTTACTACCAGCAGGCTACCAAAAATACCTCTAAACTCTCTTATAAGTGGTCTGGAGACCAAAATCCACCAACTGGAGTGTCATGAAATAGTTGCATTGCACCAACTCTTCTTCATAGTTCTCACTGATCCAACATAGATTGCAGTCTCGTGATACATGCCTTGTTTGACTGGGTACACTTTTGGTCCTACAAATGTTACAGTAGCCTCAATCATTAGAGCTTGGACTGCAGGATGGCCGAGATAAGTTATTTCTAATTCTGTTAACCATGCAGAAAGTATAGTAATGATAGTCGTGCAACTATCATTAGAAGAGAAGATTGGGTGTCTGGACAACTTTATTGAACTTGCCTATCTATATTGGATCTCAAAATTCAAGCCAAGAAGCTTGACCAAACCTTTCTTCTATATTTAGTATGATTATTTTGACTTAAGAGGTGCTCCAAATTTTCATGATCAGTGAAAATGGTGAACTGCCTACCCTCCAGATAATGTCTCCACTTGTTGACTGCCAATAATGCAGCCATGAATTCATTCTCATATGTAGATAAGACTTATTTCCTAAGACATATGCCTAACTATGGTAAGCAATAGGCTTGCCCTCGAGACAAAATAGTACCAACATGGCTACTTTTAGTAGTTCAAATGCCCTCTGAGCAACAAGAGACCTCACAAAGCTGTCTTTCTTAAGTAACTTAGCCAATGGTTTGCAATAACTCCATATTTAGGTACAAGCCAAGCCATGGATGCAATTTTGCATTTTTGCTGGGGTCACTAGAAACACCTTTTTAATTGATAACATGCCCTGGATAGTCTACTTGAGTTTGTCCAAAAGAGCATTTAGACGGTTTGTCATACATGGTTTTTTGTTTGAGAATTTTCAGGATAAGTGATAGGTGGCATTTATAGCTTTCTTTATCAGGGTTGTATAGTAGGATGTCATCAACGAATACTAATGAGGGCTTGAAAGGTGGTTCGAGCATTGGTCAACCCAAACGACATTAAGATAAATTTCTCCAAATATTCTTCTTGAAAATCTTCGGAAGAATTTTACCAGATATTAACTTGCAATGGCATAACTCATGTACCCCTTGCAAAGTAACCTCGCACCCCTGCCACTCAAACTCTTAAAGAGTTAAAGGAGATTGATAAAATCAAACTTCACAAGACTAATTGTATCCAACCAGTCTACTCCTAGCACAACATCAATAGAGGTTTTGAAACTTTGCGTCGGCTAGACTCATTGACCTTGATTTGGAAACATTAATATTTAATATTCCTCGGTTACCGTTTTGCTCAACCAGCGGTTCCTCCACTCTAGTAGAGACTACCACTGGACAAACTCGACTTAGATCCATCATTCTCCTCATCATTTCTTTGAAACTCCCTTCCAAGTTCCAATCGATCGAAGCGGTCACCCACGTGACCTTCGAGACTTTCCAAACTTGAATTGATAGTGATGAATTGAGTGAGCTTTCGATAGATCAACCTGATCGTGAAATTAATCGAATGAGTCGCCATATGTTCTTCCAAAACCATCACCTCCGTTCAGAAACCCCCAATTTATAACTCAACTTCGATGGTAACGAATTTAGTCAATCCTCCAATCTCGTGGTCGTCATTTTGCTAAGTCTCGGGTCTGATACCAAATTGTCACGCCCCAGGTTGTCTTGTGGTAGTCTCAACATAGAAGGATAGAGATTGATAATGGTAGAGCAGAGATTGAGTAGAGCTCGTAGCATAATAGAGAGAGAAACAGAAATGGAGAGAAAGAGAGAGAGAATAGTAAAGAGGGGAAATTCTGTACAATTTGGTCCCTCAATTACTAAATTGCTAAGATCCAAAAACTTCTCGTTTGTTAAATTAGATACAATCATTACGATAGAGCAAAGATAAAGAGAATGCAATTAGAGTTGGGTGGGTTAGGTTGTGCCATGTGGCATTTAACTTACATTTCAACCATTTATTTTGGAAATTACCTTCCTGTCATTGAAAAATTACATAATGATCACTATTATTTTCAATATATATGGTTCAGTCTACCATACACTAATCATATCGTCTCTTACTTATATAGTGAGTTTCTTTATTTAGACCATGAATTAATTATAAATTTTGACACTATATTATGTTCTAACCTCTAATGCATGAAATCTTGACCTCAATTCTCTAAATCTAATGGATATAATAAAAAATTAATAACTTACCGTTCTGATTCGTCAAATTATATCGAAGTACATTTAATTGATGTGAACGTATGGTTATAGCATATATCAGGTATACACTAGCTTTTGTCATATATAACGAGAGTTCTACGGTACCCAATACAAATGTCAAGGTGCCACATACTCTTACTAGATACACTATCGTGCAATTGATCGAATGAGTCGCCATCTGTTCTTCCAAAACCATCACAAATCCAACATACTAGATACACTATCTAAGGTTATAGAGTGTGGAGTTTTGAGAACTAGGACCTACAGTTCACTCATTAAGACTTAAGGATATAGTTATGGTTATCAGTTTGGATTTGATTTTTCAGTTTTAACCAAAACAAACCATAATTATTTTGATGGTTTTAATTATCAATTTGAAAATTGTGTAGCAACTTAATAATTTTGGTTTCGCTTAAAGCGTACAAAACCAATAAGAAACGAAACACTCTAAGTCAATCCCTGTCAACAACTCGCTTTGTCAATACTTGTGTGTATCTTTTATCGATAGTCATGCTTCTTGTTGTCTTTTCTGACTTCACTTTGGTCGTCTCAAATTATATGTATGATTTTTGGTTTTTGGGTTTATCCAAACCAAGGGAATTATCTGTTTTTAGTTGACCAATAACCGATAAAGCTCTTAATGATTTTGGATTTTGAAAATTGCTCATGATTGGTTTTTTTTCATGCTTAATAATTTGGTTAACCAAAACAAAACATTCCTAAATTTAATATAATGTTCAAAATTAAATTATTTCAAAATATTCTTGTTACGCCAGAAGTCAATGTATCATAGTGACGATAACAGTATAAAAATGGATGATCTAGCTAGCCTGAACCAAAACGGATAAGTGCTCTACACGTCGCAAATTTCTGTTCCAACAACAATTTTGTTCATGTATTTCTGTAGTCATTCAAGATTGGGGAATGTTAAAAACCACGCATTACTAATTAAAGTGGTGAATGTGTCCAGATATAGCGATCTAATAATGTATATAAAATAATTTTCACAATTACTTGCACATGAATCACGGCCGAACGGGACGAATATGTACAGAAATAAGTGAATCGATGTTTACAGATTTAGATGCATGTGTACGAATCAGGTATGCTCAGTTATGTAATCAAGAGGGAAATGTGTATAAATCAGAAAGAATCAAAATCCTTCCTTTATATATAAACAAACTTCTCTTGCGTCTAGTTGTTTTGGAGATGCGATGTTATCCAAGTATCACGTGGTAAGTTACCAGTCTCGGTGTAGGTTAGGATGTATAACCCTTGGTTATACGCAAAAATTTGATTAAGTCGGTCATTGAAATCTCAAGATCGAATCTATAAAATTGAGTATGGAAAATTTGCTCCATTTGTTGCCTGATTTGGATGGAGTTAGAACTTAGACGGCAAATTCATGTACCAAGTAAAGACTTGTCATGTCAATGAGTTGCCAAACAATGTTAACTTAACAAAATATAACATCGCTACATTAAACAGTGAAGCGTTCAACGTGCTATACAGTGGAAAAGTCTCTCGTTCTTGTAAATGTGGCAAACTCGAGAACCTTGAAGCCCTTTCGAAATCGTTGTAGCCCGTTTACGGTCTACCCATTATGGGTAGGCTTCCGATACACAGGTAACAAGGTGGGTCTCACTCTCACGCCAAAGTGCTTGGTGAGGAGTTGAGCCACCTGGTCCCTTAGGGTGTTAACATCATGCTCTCTTTGTTGCCCCCAATTCGGCACATACCCAATTAACGTGCTCCATGACATGCGCATTAAAATGATGTGACATTATTATTGGATAGGCCCATGACGGGACTTTATCATGTTACCACCGAGACCTCCTCCACTTCCCATGTTCATATGAGACACGTACGGCCTTGCCTCGGGATACTTTTGTTCAACTTTGAGTATTGAACATAATGGCGATATTTTTGCCACGTGGAGGCACCACTTCAAGTCTCACGCGCACATGTGACAAATGAAGTCAAATTCTTACTTCTAAGTACAAGCGGAATCATGGCTGAAAATATAAGCCCAAAAGCGAATTGTAAAAGTTTAAGATTTTACCATCCTTTATATTTGATATAAATATTCTAATCATAACTTATACTATGCAAAATATGAACAAACAAATGAAAATAGCTCATATTTTAAAGGATGTTCAAATTATCTGGTAGTGATTCAAAATTCCGGAATGTTCAAAATTAAGCATTTCTAATGACAGTGGTAAATGTATCCAAATATAGTGGCCAGAGGTATATAGAATGATTTTCATAAGTACTCTTAGAAATAAGTGAATCTTGTTACAGATTTAGATGCATGTGTACGAATCAGGTATGCTCAGTATGTTTAACTGACTGACCACTGTGTATAAATCAAAGGGTGAAATGTGTTAAATATAAGAAAGAATCAAAATCCTTTTGCGTCGTTTTGGAGATACTGATCATGTCATTCATATCTCACGTGGTAGGTTAATTACTAGTATTAGGGTGAATAAGTCGTGGTCATACATTTGTGCATAATCAGATATATATGATCCATTAATTTTGAATTACCAGATCTAAGAGATTAGATTAATAGTTTTTTTTTATATATTTCTTCTAATTGACTTGTATCTCATTCATTTTTAACTCAATTTTTGACAATTTGAGCACCGAATGAATGAGCTAGTTAATCATGATCTATTGTGATAAAAATAATTCCAGGATAACATATACCACCCTCGTATAGAACTGTAACTGGTGGTAGACGACAGTGAAAGGTGGTAAATGATGGTTACTATATATATTCCTACCTATTCTACATTATGATATATTCATACCACACAATGGTACGCTTTCATACAACCATGATATAATCTTATGTACTATCAAACATTAAAGAGGTGCGTCGGCTCCGCCTAAAATTTTTCTACGAAAAATCATCGGTACAAATAAAAAAAAACTTTAATTTGAAAGGTTCGACACAGCTCTGTTAATTATAGCCGACGGTAAAAAAAAAATTCTAGATTAATTTAAGAAGCTTCTTAAATTTTTTAGCTTTAACCATGGGAACCACTCCACGAACGTGTGCATAAATGAGGGAATCAATGTTTACAGATTTAAATGCATGTGTAAAAATCAGGCATGCACATTGCACAGTATGTAAAACTGACTGACCAAAATGTGTGTAAATAGAAAAGAAACAAAATCATGTTTTGGAGATACGCTGTCTGTCAGTGTGTCATGCATATGTATCACGTTGTAGGATACTTGTGTCCCACCCAAAATCTTCCTCGATCGGCCCCAACATGCTGCCAGTATAAATAGAGAGCTCTTCACCATGGACACTCCATAATCCATATACAAGATAACAGCAGATAACTAGAGCTTTTAATTAGAGGGGAGTGACAACAAAATGGTTCAAATGGCAGTCATCGACGAAGAAATCCCGGCGATCGACTATTTCTCCCTCTTCTCCGGCGACCCTGTCCAGCGTTCCAAGGCGCTCGACTGCCTCTCCACAGCTTGTGAGCACTACGGCTTCTTCAACGTACGTTTATTTCTTTCTGCTTAAGACTCTTTGCAATTGTTTGAGTTATGTGATGGAATAGTTCGGTTTAATTGTTACTTAATTGATGAACATAACAACTAGTATATATGTGTTAAGAGTTAGTCTCGTATTGTAGAAAATACCAAATTTGAAGAAAAAAGAGTGCAAGTGTGGTTTATAAAGTCCGATTCTCGGTTAATTTTATTGATTAAGTGGTTTGTGCAATTTTTTTTTGAATTGTTTGGGGATTTTAATATGATATATATATTAAATTATACTACGCACTTAGTACGTTTGAGCTCACGGCTAGAAATTTAGGCGATTTAATTAATTATTTTTTTCATTATTGTGAAATGGACTTAATGAATTAACCCTTCAAAAGGGAGCTTCCGTTTTTCAGAATTATATGTTTGTTCTCATCCAGAACTCTTTTCCGTGTGTTCTTCATCTTCTTCTTCTCGGTTTCCTTCTCTTCTTTCACAACACACAAAAATCTGCAAGTAGCCACTTCTGATTTTGATTGAGGGGACTCTTAGAGATGGTTCGCCTAATCACACCATCGATTGTAGTGAGGAAAAATCAACCATCTAAATAGATCGATTCGATTGCACCTTCAATTCCATAAGCTATTGGTGTTTCTAACAATAGGTGTGTAAATGCATGCAGCTAGTGAACCATGGGGTTCCTGATGGAGTGATAGAAGGTGCTTTGAGTGGGATAGCAGATTTCTTCGAGCAAACGTCGGTGGAAGAGAAGAGCAAGTACAAGAAAGGTGATCCCAAGGCTAGGATTCTTTGGGATGCCAGGAGTCACTCCGGTGAGAACAGAGAACATCTCAAGCTCCTCGCTCGTCCAACGTTCCATTGCCCTCCTAATCCTCCATCATTTAGGTATGTCCTGTAAGATAGCGGTATAAGATCCATTCTCCCAACAATTTAAGTTGTTGAGACTAACTAGCTAGTTCTTGACATGATATCAAAGTCTGGTTTGTTGGTCAAGTAGTCGAGTGTTCACCGACGATGATGTACATATTTTGTTGGCAATTTGCAGAGAGGCATTGGGAGAGTACGAGAGGAGAGTCCATGAAGTGTCGTTGGGGTTAGGAAGGGCAATGTCCTTAATCTTGGGACAGGAAGAGTCCTACATCGAGAATGCTTTCAATTTGGAATCAGGCTTTAACGTGGCTGCCATGAATCGTTACCCACCAAACTTCCAGTCGAAGGGCACCATGGGACTGGCTGAACACACCGATCCTGGCTTCATCATCTCCCTCGTCCAGAATATGGATGGTGGCCTTCAAATCCTAACCCACCAAGGACAATGGATCAACGTCCACATCCCTCCCAACACCATCTTAATTCAACTTGGGGACCAACTGGAGGTATATCTATGCGAGTTTACAGTTCAAGATTTTATGGTAAAAATGTAATTGATTTGTGACACACGAAATTCGTACGTGTTATGTGTAGCTTCTAACCAATGGCAAATACAAGAGTCACATCCATCGAGTGTTGGTGGATACCTACAAGGTGGAGAGGATCTCTATAGGCATACTCCATGGGCCATCTATAGATGAATTTGTGGCTCCCGGACCAGAATTCATAAACGGCAATCATCCACTTGCTTACCGTGGAATAACATACTCAAATGCTTTGGAAGCTAACGATCGTTACGAAATTGAAGTTCAGTCATGCATTGACCAACTTAGAATTCTACCAATATGAGTGATTTATCAAATAATACTCATATCATTACATATTTGGTATGGGTAATAAGGGTGAAATATATTTGTTTTTAGTTAGATGCTACTTAATGTATCTTTGATTTCAATTCATTTATCTTTTCTTTTTTATAATTTCATTTTAGATTATTTGTTGAGTTTGATATATCGAATGTCGGCTATTTTATATCATGCTCAATTAAATAAATAGTCCATGTCGTGGTCATAATTTTTGTTATGAATAATAAAAGATATTAATGATATCAAACTGAATTTGAAGAAAAATGTAGTGAAAACAGTAATGATACTTTGTAAACGTGGTTCAAAAATTAGTCTAGAAGATGAAGGGGTCGTTTGGAAGTTGCGTATGTTAAATCGTTGTATTGTTATGAATCACTATAATATAAATGCATGCATTGATACAATAGATGCCTTTTGAAATTACATTGTTTGGTTGTTGAGATTATAATTTATGAATTGATTGTTATAAAGTTACTTTATAAGGAAATGTCATATTTGTCCTCCACTTTTAATATAAAACAAAAAGAACTATGAACATAATTGGAAAAAGTAAATGTGCTCAATTATTAAACCAACAATCACAACAATCTCAACTTTTAGTTGAGATTGTACAATCCCTCATTTTTGTTGATTGTTGGTGGGACCCACACAAAACAATACATACATTGTTTTACAACTTGACACTTCCAAACATTGTATTGTGGACAATGCATGTATTTATCAAATACAACACTAACAATCGCAACTTCCAAACGACCCCGAAATTTTTGTGGCGTTGTATTCTCTAGAAATCCCTTCAAAACGATTACTCATCAAGCCCTGGAGTTGTGTACTTGTGTTCACAAGAAACATTTGGTTGAGGTTGCACTTAGTTCTTCAAGACAATTCAAATAAGTAAAAGACATGAACATGTAAGCCGCAGTGGAGATGTTTTCAGTCGGGGAAGGTATTGTTCAGACTATTCCCTAATTAAGTCGGTCGAGTTCACGCGATTGATCCTAACCTATCATGTCTCGAAACGAGGTTATAACTTGTAAGCAGTTTACCAAACAAAGTGAACCACAAAACCATCGTGTCATGGATCAATGTTACAGCAACTAAAAGAGGCGTGATTTCTCTATGTAATGGTGAGGTATTCTTCCCCCACGAAAATCATCTGATCAAACTTAAAGGAAACCATATCTGGTTCTGGTGATGACCAGAACCAACTTCTTCTGGGCGAGGGCATGGTGGACATTGAACTGTTGTAGCTGTCTATCTCCTCTCAGGCTCTCACTCTCGGTTGCCATAAACGAACGCAGATAGTGGTGCATTGGCTTTCTCCAATCAGGGTTGCCAATGAGGCAACTCATTACTTTCGGTGATAAATGATGTATAAGTATCATAATGTTACGCATTAATTTGTATCTCCTATATTCTTCTCTAGACGACAGATGGCTGCAAAATTATGGCAAGTATAACTACTGGGAAACATCAATGACAAACAGGCTTCTTTATCTTGTTTTAGCAACCAGTAGCGCTGGAATGCAATAGCTTCTCCTTATTTTGAGTAGTAATCTATCATTTTCTCCAATCGAATCTAATCCTCCGTAAACAGAACATATTGTAAATCTCTGAAAGGAAGAGAATGGGAAGCCAAGCTAGAGCTCCATTCTGCTTGTACCCTGCTCCTTCATCAACCAAACTACCTCTGTTTTCCCCTGCTTTCCAGAAATCCCCTTATGTACACTTGTATGTATACCATGATGGTTAATGAGAAATACAAGGAAACCCGAAACAAATACAGTTGTTTTATTTTTGTTAATGGTGATATATTTTTTTAACAACAAGAAAAATCAGAAGAAAAAAAAAAACTATTTACAATCAAACTGGAAAATGGAAATGCTAACATACTGCATTGTAGCTAGTGATACAAATTCTGCAGCGCCATTGAAGTCACGAGTAGGTTGATAGATACTGATTTTCCATATCATTCCGTCAAAACCCATGGATCCTAGAGACTCCTCTGACACACTTGCTATTCTTGTTCCCATTTGGTTCACTTTGTATTTAATTCAAGCGATTCCTCTGTTTCTACTAAAGCAACAAAAACCAAACACATTAATCTTCCTTCATGGTACAGTTTGGAATGCTCCACTATCAGACCAACTTCCAGCTGTGTATGACATTGATTTCGGTAATTGTTTTCAAAAGATTCCCACAGAGCAAATTTCTTTCTTGAATGGAATCATTGTAGCTCTCTATCTCCTCTCACTCTCAGTTTCCATAAAAGATCACAGATATTGGTGCACTGACTTTTTCCCCCATCAGGTTGCTGAGATAGCAGTAGTTGCTAGGTCAATTGAGAGCTTGATTTCAGCTAGTTGCCTCTAGGTCCATGAGCTCCTCCTTCTTTCCTTCCAGCTCAGCCGCTTCATGCACAACAATTGTGGCTCGTTCCAAGTCGGCTACCTTAGTGACAAAGAGAGTGAGATGAGGATGTTTTTGACGAGGAAGATGATGCAGGAGCTGCTCCCGCTTGATGGTCAAGATTATGAAGACGACGATACGTGGAAGTGAGGTCAATAATGCAAAAGACCCGTGGAGAGGCCGAATGATGAGAATAAGAAAATCCATCCAAATCCATACCAATGGCTGCAAGAAACTTGGTGACCAAGGTAGCGTAGGGAAAAGAATTGGACCAAGATCCCTCTCTAGGAACGGGATGTACCATACTTAGACACATGAGAGATGTCAGATTCATACGATTACCTTGATGGTATAATGCAGAAGAACATTGTGATTACCACTCAGGAGTCGCGGGGCATGCGACTGAGAATCGTAAGTGGCTAAGAAGTAAGGTTCAAAACATGGTGGCAGCTGGAGTGGCTAACATTTGAGGAAAAGTCAGATCGTCCGGACGTCAACGATAACTCATCGGCCTCTAATAAAAATTAGTAGGCATATTGTAAGGCGAAGTTCGTTTCAAGGATAACGTTGATCCTTATTAGAATTATTAAGCCACAAGCAGACAAAACTTACCAAAAATCGAAAAAACACTGTTCATTACGAAAAAATCGCATAGAACTGTTCACGGAGTGGCATGGTGATTGTGTGCGGTCGTATCTACGTGAGCTTACGTTGCCCATGTGTAACTGTATTGGGCAGGCTAAGCTTGGCCGTTGATATTATTTTTACTTTGTCATGTGCATGAGCTCACATAAAATCAATCACACGTAATCGGTGGCCCCCTTAAAAAAATAAAACAATCTTCTTCTCAGTTCTCTCCTATCTTCTTTTTTCTCTCTCCCGTCAAATCAAAAGACCCCAAATCTCTTCTTCTCTCCTATCTTCTTTTTTCTTTCTCTCCCGTCAAATCAAAAGACCCCAAATCCTTTTCACCAAAAAAGAAAAAGAAAAAAAAAAACCCCCAAATCCTTCATCTCCTATTTCTTCTTTTCTAATAAGATCGGAGGTGGCTCTTGATCTAAAAAGAAAATTCATATTGGAGCTCACCACCGCAAAATCAAAACTGCCATATGAGAGTCAATTGGTATCTACTTCTCTACAAAATCGAAGCTCAGTTCAACTTTCTACCATTCAAAATGTTTTTATTTTAATTATCGTCTCTTCTCCACAACCTTCACTGCTGACGATTACCATTATCCCCTGAGAACAGAGCTCGGAAAACAAAGCTCCGCCGTCGGATTACTGTCGACGAAACAAAGCTCCGCCTCCCCTAAAAGCCGCGACTTCACTCCAACACTCCTCCTGCCAAGTCGCCGCCGAACTCAATGCTGGTGAATCCAGCGGAGCTGATTGTGCTCAGAAGGAAATCCAAGCACCTGTGGAGAAATTACTATTTGAAGTGGAGAGAGTTAGGATTTGATTTGTTCCCACTCAACAGAGATCGGAAGGTTAGGTGTTTTTTTTTTTTTTTTTAGTTTGTGGCCAGTTTTTTAAAACTACAGGCGTCTTTTTGTGGTGGCCTCTTGATTGAATCATGTAATCATGATTTTGAAACCTAAATCAGGAACAGACACAATAGAAGGAATTTGGGTAAAAGGGTGAAATCTGAAAACTCAAAACACACACCATTATCCCCTTCATGACCAGCTGTTGTTGTTGATTGTCCCCCCGCCGGAGTATCGTTCATCCTTGAAAGTACTCTGAGCACTAAAGGGCCAAAAACCCATTGTGCAAAACAACACAATCAAAAGAACTCAAACAACATATGGATTGAATTGTATCTCCATGGAACTCGCGGAGAGGAAGGGTGAAAGCTTTGGACTGTAATTTTCCCTTCCTAATTATGAATCCTTAGGTTGGGACATCTACTAAGAGCACTAATAGGCTTATATTACACTGCCAACCAGCCTCTCATGTGCTCAGAGGGTGTGCTCCAGTTCCTACAACCTGAAGTCCGCAAATTTAAAATCATATTGTCACATTTTAAGTTATAGAATTTCGTTGCCTGTTCTACCTGTTCTATCCAAGTTCTTCGTCACAATTGGCCAACTGCAAATTTTGATCCAACAAAATGAGACAAATTGACAGCAGAGATGTTATACAAAACGACAGAACACTGATAGTTGGATTTAATGAAAAACATGTGCTTGCAATTGAATTATTGGACCGCTGGAATATGCCCAACAATGTTTCACGTAAACCAAGTTTCATGATAGGATTTAATTAAGTTTATCACCCTTTTTTATATTCAAATCATCTTACCAGATCAACTACAAGCAACCTCTAAACTAGCAACAACAAACTATGGACATGCAAAGACCCATTTTACTAAGATTTCTATTTAATAGACTTATTTATGTTTAGTACGAAATTCTGTTCATTTAAAACGTCAATATTGTTCTTATATACATTTTTTACTATTTCGAATCAGATACCTTAATTACTTTGAGTATTTGTAAATTATCCAAATCTCCACCATCAACATAAGAATACCCGGCGCGTAGCGCGGGCTAGATGACTAGTAGGTAAATAAATGTCGAGATGCCTCACCATGTATAAGCTTCGGCTTTCTTTATAAGGAATAAAAGATCGTTCGCATTTCCACCTATTTGGAACATGGTGTGACTATTATCAATCTTGATTTTAGGAATTTGCATCAATGGTTCTTCTCTTTTCAAAATTATGAGTATCTCTTCCAAATATTTAAAATAAATTCTGTAAAACAGGAACCAGAAATTGCATTTCATGTTTGTAAGTTAAACCATGAAATTTTCACATTAGGCAAATATATACACCCCACTAGTGTCAAGTGATTATAAACACTTCATGAGTGTCAAATTTTTGCACCCCACTAATAATCAGAGTGTGCACAGCTACTGATATCGAGAGTTTGAACGCTCCACTATATTGAGAGTATAAACACCCCACTGGTGTCCTTAAAGTAGTGTGAGCTAAATAGTTAAAGGGTGTAATGAGAATACGACATGAGTCTACTTGTAGAAGCTTGTTACATATGATATTCTATATCAAATTAGGGCTCGACTAGAAAGGAGGTTGAGTGGCTAAATTATGATCCTCAAGCATCGATATGTCAACATTACAATACTCAAGTTCTCACGAAATCCTCATGGCTAGAAGATTGGGGAAGCTGAATGATCCTATTTGACAAATCATTGGTGCACAAAATCAAAAGTGTCAAAGTGGCATCATATATGGGGCATAACAAAGTCGAGCAAGTTCTGCAAAAAAAAAAAAAAAACAAAAAAGCAAAAGAAAAAGCCAGAAAGGCAAGAAAAAGAAAATCAAAATAAAAACGCATTGTGTATCACCTATCAATTCCAGGCGGTGTTTGAATTTGATTTTTTACCCAATTTGGGTTGGATGAGCTCTACCATACCAATGCACATCTAGAAGATAAAAACGCATTGATGGATGATATCTTAGGGTAGTCGGTTGGCTTTTCACCTCCAGATAATGACCCAGATCCATCCAACATTTGGATCTAAGCTTTGTGATCGTTGTTCATGCGATTATCAGAGCTCTTATGCGAGGCCATTGGTTATGGTGGTTGGTTATATTGGTAGACATTACTGTTGAAATCACGAGTTTGAGGGTAGTGAGTATGAAGATAGTCGACTTCTGCTATTGGAAAGTTTCCCGTAGGCTCAAAGTTATGTCCATCATGACCTTCTTCGCCGCATCGCTGGTGGACAAAGACTTATTATATGTAATTTGATATACTTTGATAAATCATAACCGCCGCCTGCATAAGATTATATATCATTGAGGTTGGAAATGTATAATGGTGATATGAATGTACTATAGTGGAGAATGGTGATACATGATAGTAGGAATATATTAACCATCATTTATCACCTTTCATCATTCTGTACCACCAAATGCTGGTATGATATATTTGGTCCTGAAATTTTGTTTTCTTAAATTTATATCGCACAATAGATCATGATGAATTCGTTCGTTTTGTGAAAAACATAAAAATTTATGAGTTAAAAACGAAGGTGGTACTTGGATGGTAATGAGTGGTATTGGGTTAAAACAAAGAAAATAAAGCCAATTAAAAAAGTTTGAAAAAATAAAAGTTTTTAATATCCCCCTTAGATATGACACTAACCAAAACCAAGAGGCCATATTTGATTATGAAGAAATATATAACCAAGAGTTATACAACCTACCATAGACCGCCGATTCGGGTTAGTAAGGTTATATAGAAAAATCATCAATGTTATATTTTATTTCTAATTTGTTTGATTTTCTGGAAAAACAATTATGACAATGAGGAGGACATTTTGTTTATGGGAAAAAATGAAAACTATGGCAAGACATTTATTACTTTTCAAAAGATAGAAAGATAAATATGGTATTATTAGATTTCTGTCTTTTATGCGTCCTATATAAACACGGAAACTGATGTCCTCTGAATCACATAAACCACAAATTGAAATATCATAGCGAAGCAAAAGAATTCATATATTTGTCAAGTTGCAAGCCGTATCCAAGTACAATGGAGAAGACTAACTTCAAGTTGTTATTCTTCGTCGGGCTGTTGATTTTTGTTGTCTTCTGTAAGTATATTAGTATATTTTTGTTTTTGTTGTATAATTGCACATAACTTTGTAGTCGTAGATATATATTTTTTCATTAACAAAATGGATAGATGATTTTGTCACTAATGTGATTCATTATTGTTAATATTGAACAAATTTGGTATTACAGTTGGGAACGTGAATCACATTGGAGCAGAAGCTAGCTACGTAAGCAAACGGTGTCGAGGTCCAGATGATTGTGCTTCGTGGGGGCCCGAATGCCACTGTGACATGGGGCTTCATGCGTGTGTATGCAATGTACCACCTAGTGGAAAATCTCATCTAAATTTCAATGGGATGGAAGAAGGATATTAAACAAAACATGGGTATATCATATCATAAGAATAAAGTAATTGAGATTGAAGAATAAATGTTAATGTGCAATTTTTTTTTCTAAGACAATTAATAGATACATAAAGTTGATGGATTGGTGGATTCATAGATTAGATCATATGGATTGGTGGATTGATCCAAATGACATCCAAAATTTGGACCAATATATAAATTTTGAAAAGTTTAGGTATAAAAATGTTATAATATGGATTGGTTGGCTAAGTTCCTTAGTTGCATAGGTACGTGAACCGTAGAGGTTCTAGCCAAGTAAACTCAATGATTTGGTTAATACAATTGTTTGATTTCCATATGTGTGATGCTTGATTTCCTTTCTTTCATTATTTGTCGTTCGAATGAATGCTTAGTCGACCTTGTACACCTTCGAGGTGCAAGGATCGAAATCCTAGTAGTTTAGGAAGGGTCTAGAAATAGCAGTCCTACTCAATCAAACCTCATTCGATCAAATGGCGTATCGCCTCAAAGAAGGAATACGAAGGGACCTTGTTGACCATGAGTTCAGGTAATGCTTCGACAGAAGGTGGGATCTAACCAAATAAGAAATCTGCAGCTCGTATGCTCCAATCATCAATGGTGTGTGGTTAGGAAACCTAGGGGGAACTTGTCGCCCGTTAGGTCGGGTAAATGCTTCCTCTCTTGCTCTCTTAGTTCTTCACTAGCCTAATATTTACTTTTCTTCACTTTCTTTACGAACATCTAAGTTCTGCAAAACGAGAGGAGCATCAATGTCCCAATTCGATCTCTTCTTTAATAGAACCGTACTCGCTTCTGAAGTAAGAGTTCTGTAATAGGGCCAGGTAAATTTTGTCTACACTACATGACATATCAAATTTTAGCATTGTTGCCAGGACAGGGACATCTCACAAACTTCAGAAAAGGAAGCAAGGCACTAGTTCTGATTTCTGCTTTCTAGTGTTCAAAAATGACGCTAGTAGCGCTGATCTTCCTTTCAATTTCGATGCCCATAGCTCCGACTGCGAGAGGAGGTTGTGTATAACCAGTATTCACACTTTCCATTTCTTCACAACTGCCAACTCTTTGCGATAATTCACACCAACAGACACTACAAGAAAACCTAACTTTAGTGACAAATAATTAGTGATAATTATCATATCAGTCTCTATATCTATTTTGTGGACGCAAATATATTACTTGTCTCAATATGTCATATTATATGTTTCTAAATCTTATTATTTATTTTTAAATTTATATGAGATAAGTGAAATTAATACATTTAGAGACGATTACCTTATTTGCTACTTTATAATACATATGTCATATATGGAGGCAAATCTATTAGTTTTTAGAGGTAGATAAAAGTGTGACATATGGTGCAATTACATGGCGTCGTCCAATGGTGGCTCAGCACTCAACAGTGGTTTGGTTGGGGCGGGAACGATTGCGAGGTCACTATGTAATCGCAAGGAGGTTATCAGGATGGAGAAATCTGCTTGGCATAATAGATTATTGATGTGTTTTCAGTGTAATCCGGATGTATTTATCTTCTGTATTTTTGTGAACATTCCATATTTTTACAATAGTGTATTCATGTATTCATAGGCGGAGGGAGGGCAGTTTGCAGTTTGCCCTTGTCCCAGGACAGGACCAAATTTTGTGAGGCAAAAAATAATCCTATATATGTTTGAACGGAGAATAAATTCAACACCTATAAGTAATATAAGGATATGTTGGCACTACACTATAATTCATTACTTGTTCATTAATTGTCAAAAAATAATTAATTTATTGGTTTCATTCATGGCACTATTATTCGATAACACATTGCTGGGTATTATAATGATTTTATGGCTGATGAGAGGTTTGTTGGATTGAAAGAAATTGATAAATGATCTCAGATCATGGTGGAGACAAAAGTACATAGGTTATACCAGTCAGTTTATTTGCTTCTGAAATTAGTTTTGATACTACCAGTTGCAACTCCGAACGTAAAAAGAGCATTTTTAGATTGATATATTAAGAACAAGTTTCAAAGTCGAATTGATGATCAGTTTGTTAATAATTGTTTAGTGGGAATATTGAAAGAGGCTCACTTAAGAGTGTAAACAATTAATGTATTTTGTAATTCTTTCATAATATGAAAACTCGTCGTGGTTGTTTATGCAAACAATAATTGTATTAATTGCTTATTTCTTTATCTATTAATGAATTATTTAGATATTATTAATTTTAATTTTTGATTTTAATTATTAAATATTTTAATTTTATATTTTAAAAAAGGACAGGGGTAGTTTCCAATCCTGGCTCCGCTAGGGGTGGGAAACGGTGCGGTTGCGGTTAACTGCACCGCAATTTGCGGTTAACTGCAACCGCAAAGTGCCCATATTAGCCAACCGCAACCGCACCTGCTACGGTTAGCGGTTAACTGCTAACCGCAAAATGCGGTTAACGGTGCACCGCGGTTAATGGCATTACTAACCGAGTTAACCGCTAGAATGGTCGCGCCGTCGATGTCGACGAGCAGAGCAGATGTGGAGAGGACGGCGGCGTGCTCTACGCCTCTGATCGAGCAGGGACGGCGACGAAGGCGGGTTCTGGACAAGAAGGGACGGTGGCGGAGGAATTTCCGGACGACGAGTGTGGGTTCTGCTCTGGAATGGTCGCGGCGTCGCAGTTGCACTGGCTGTGAATCCCAGGTCACGTCGTCGCGGTTGCATGGAACTAGGGTTTCCTTTCTTTTCGATTTGGGAAAGTGGCTGAAGAAAGAATTCGCACGCTAAGGGCTGGGGAAACGAGAACTGTGGTGGAAGGGGGTGGGTCGACAGTGGGCTAGTGGGCCTAGGGTGGGGTTTGTTGGATGGACTGGTCTGGAAAATGAAGTGGTGGGCTGGCCTGCGGTTAGTAGTGCGGTTAGGTACAGCTGCGGTTTCGGTTGCGGTTAAACCGCAAACCGCAAAAGACTCATTCTTCCCAACCGCGACCGCAGAAAAGGTTGTTTTTGCGGTTTGCGGTTAACCATTAACCGCGCGGTTTCGGTGCGGTTTGCGGTTTAACCGCACAATCGTAACCGAATTCTCAGCCCTAGGCTCCGCCACTGTCATGTATTTAATAGTAATGTATAAAAAAAATTGTTATTTGGTAATCTTATTATTATTATTATTATTATTGTATTAATGTAATGTGCCCTTAATACCCACTTGTATATCTCCAAATTTGCAAAATTTAAATAACAAATTATAAAACATGAATTTAAAAAATACTTTCTTCGAAGTACTCATCAGAGGCAAATATTTTTGTCTCTTAAGGTCTTTAGAAGCAAATAAAATTATTTCAAAAACTAACATTGCATATAGATATATTTGTCTCTAAAAGAATTAGAAGACAAAAATAAGCTCTCAAAATTGCAAAATGTCGTGTTCCCTTAATACCCACTTGGTAATCTTATTAACCCTTTGTCATTAGACACTTGTACATTTCTCATTGGTTGTTTTCAATAGTTAGTTGATTACTATTTATTTATCCTTAGCTAGATGTAAGTAGGGTTTGTTTGTGCAGCCTTTATAAGCTCTGCTAGTGCAGCTTCTCATTCGTTCAATGAAACTGTAGAGAAGGCATCGGAGGTGAATGAACCTGTAGAAGCCCTACCATCCATCCATCGATTCCGATGAAACACTTGCAGACTGGGTCGAACTGTAAATGATCCCATCTCCTCTAAGCTAACTGCTGTACACATCATGTTTTCGTTAGCAATTTAAGCCCCTCGGACGGGTTCACCACTAATTCAATTACGACCTTCAGAGGCAGAGTATTATTGATGAAGGCAGCATTGCTTATGATCAGGCTCCTTCTTTATCTTGTTTTAGCAACCAGTAGCGCTGGAATGCAATAACTCCTCCTTATTTTGTAGCTAGTGATACAAATTCTGCAGCGCCATTGAAGTCATCAGTAGGTTGATGGATACTGATTTTCCATATCATTCCGTCAAAACCCATATGGATCCTAGACTCCTCTGACACACTAGCTATTCTTGTTCCCATTTGGTTCACTCTGTATTTAATTCAAGCGATTCCTCTGTTTCTACTAAAGCAACAAAAACCAAACACATTAATCTTCCTTCATGGTACAGTTTGGAATGCTCCACTATCAGACCAACTTCCAGCAGTGTATGACATTGATTTTTGATAATTGTTTTCAAAAGATTCCTACAGAGCTAGTTTCTTTCTTGAATGGAATCATTGTCGCTCTCTATCTCCTCTCACTCTCAGTTTCCATAAAAGATCACATATAGTGGTGCAATGACTTTTTCCCATCAGGTTGCCGAGATAGCAGTAGTTGTCAGGTCACTTGAGAACTTGATTTCAGCTAGTTTTGTACTGTTGGTGTTGAAGAGCAAGTGACGCGGATGGGTTCAGAAATTACAACATTCAGAGGCAGAGTATAGCTCCAATGTGGTGAACACTCAGCGGTAAATTCCGTGGAAATGACCGCAATTTCGGTAACTCTTTTCAAAAGATTCCAGCAGAGATAGCTCCTCCCACTCTCGGTTGCCATGAAAGAACACAGATAGTGGTGCATTGGCTTTCTCCAATCAGGGTTGCCGATGAGGCAATTCATTACTTTCGGTGATGAATGATGTATAGGTATCATAATGAAACGTATTAATTTCTATCTCCTATATTCTTCTCTAGACGACAGATGGTTGGAAAATTATGGCAAGTATAACTACTGGGAAACATCAATGAAAAACAGGGGCTCTTTATCTTGTTTTAGCAACCAGTAGCGCTGGAATGCAATAGCTTCTTCTCCTTATTTTGAGTAGTAAGCGCGCATTGCCTCCAAACGAATCTATTCCCACATAAACAGAAAATTTTGTACATCTCTATTAAGGAAGAGAACGGGCTCTGCTAGTAAGTTGCTCCTTCATCAGCAAAACCACCTCTGTTTTCCCTGCTGTCCAGAAATCCCCTGTTTTCCGAACTCGAGCTCCATTCTGCTTGTAACTTGCTCCTTCACCAACTGAACCACCTCTGATTTCATTGATTTCCTGAAATCCCTTGTTTTCCAAACCTGAGCTCCATTCTAGCTGTAGCTTGCTCCTTCATCAACCAATCCATCTCTGTTTTCCCCTGTTTTTCAAGCATTTCATCAACCGAACCACCTCCGTTTTCCCCTTTCCAGAAATCCCCTGTTTTCCAAAACTTAGTTCCATTCTACATGTAAGTTGATCTTCATCTGCCATACCACCTCCTTTTCCCTGTTTCCCCCAAACTTCTGCTCCATCTCACTCGCAATTTGCTTATTCTTCAACCAATACCACCTCTGTTATCCCCTGTTTTCTAGAAAAAAAATCCCCTGTTTCTATTCTCTCCCACTTTGTTTATCTTCCTCTGCTCTATCTGCATCCCCTGTTATTTTACCTCACCTTATTCCTTCGTAGAAATGGGAGTTCACAGCTCTTCCTTTCTGGGTTTTCTGATCGCAGCGGCGGTGCTGCTCGCCGCTGTGAGCTGCAATACTACTGTCCTCCACCTGGAGAAGACACCGTCAGCGAGCTTTGAGCGACACGTAGCACAGGATCGAGCCAGGCACGCCCGTCTGTTTGACGGCGTCGCCAACTTCCCTGTCTACGGCTCTGCCGATCCGGACCTGTACGGGTAAGTTTCCTCTGGTTTGGTTTCTGCTGCTTCTCCATATTTGTTTTTTGGGCAAGGGTTTTAGCGGCAAAAGTTTGGACACATAAAACGACGGCGTTTCTGATTTGAAACGTCAGAGACAAAATTAATTAGTGTTTGACTTATTTTCTTTCTTTTTGACCCACTTATCTTATTTTTCAAATCTTGGTCCTTCCTTCGTTCTTCGTAGCCTTCGCCCTTCGAAGTTAAAATTTAAAATTAAAAGCCATCAGTGATGGCGAGAGTGTGCGATTTCCGATTTATGTTCCCCTCGAAGCTTGTAGGTATATATCCCATTCTCCGATTTAGGGTATCAGTGGCAGTAGTTGCTAAATCTGGGTTCCCAATCTACTGCATCCGCTGAAAGTTTCGATCATGGATTATGGGGGTTTGATTTTTCTCCACAATATCAATTTCGACTTGGCATGCATAGATTTTCTGATCCAATTCTGGAATTAGCCTTAGATAGTCTTCTTCTTTCGTTCTGAATTCTGCCATAACTGAACGTATGGAAGTAATCCGTAAGCTTGAAGGTCGCCTTCCTTTCTCCTTTTAGGGCATCAATGGCGGTAGGTGCTAAATCTGGGTTCTCGGTCTCCTGCTTGCAATAAATTTTTCATGGCTACTTTTCTTACTGTTAATTACATATTCTCGCTGGTTTGCTCATAATCTTGGGGTTTTGTTTTCTCAGGATTTACTACACAAAAGTCAAGCTGGGGTCTCCACCTCAGGAGTTCAGCGTGCAGATAGATACAGGCAGTGATCTACTCTGGGTGAACGCAAAATCTTGTGCTAACTGCCCACGGTCGAGCAGTTTCGGGGTAAGTGGTTTTTAAATTTAGACTTGTTATTGTGCTTATGGCTTGGGAAGAATTGAATTTAGTTTTTGAAACCCTAGAGATGAATGCAAAGAGATGTAGTAGGGAATGAAAATACTTTATTGATAACATAGATGAAATGACAGTTCAAAAGGATTCATATATCTCCTAGCTTAATTAAAAATGGTGTCGATGGGTGTCCTACTTCTACATGATGGAATGGGAAACAGAGTGCCAAGCATTCCATACTTTGTTTGCACGAAACAGCCCAGCAACAACGCCAATGATGCAAACTAAGAGCTTCAACCACCAGTAGTACATTTCGACTCCCCAATAACATAATATATGAAAGAAAAATCATAAGGTTGTATCGGGAGAAGGCGTTGTTGCATAGCCAAACAAAATCCTACTCAATAGCCGTGCCTCCTGTCGATCCAGAACACCCTTAGCCACACTCTAGTTTATGCAGTTGTCAAACTGTTTGTGCATTACCTGGTCCCATGAGCAGCTGATGTCTTAAAAAGTTCTTTCTTTCACTCTAGCTATATGCTCCAAATGATGGAGTGATGCAGCGGGTGAATAAACTGTCGAAAATATGTACCTTTTAGTAAAGTGGCTCCATTGGTGTAGTAGATTAGGATAGCTTGAAGGGATGACTTCTTTGATGTTGATTTTGTCTTCAGAAGTTTGTTTATTGATTGGATTTTAAATGATGATGTGGTTGCTCCTTTTTTCCAAGGCAAACTTCAAATGTGATTTTCTTTGTTCAAGGTCAATACATGATCAATCTCTTCATTCCAAATCAATGAATGATTTTTGCTTGCTGTGAAATCTACCTCTTCATTACATACCAATAGATGACTTTTGCTTGCTGTAAAAAGCTTGACATGCTCAAGTCGAAAAGCTTTGCCACCAACAATTAGTGGCTTCACGCTCTACAATGTATGTGGACTAGCAACTCACCCATATTTTTATGATGTTGTGCAGATTGGCCTCAGGTTTTTCGATGCTGCTGCATCTTCCACCGCCAAGGCTGTCCCATGTCCCAGTAAAACTTGTCCAGATCAGTGTACAGAGAATGGGCAATGTAGCTACACAATAAAGTATGAAGATCGTAGTGTGACCTATGGAGTCTATATGGTGGATAGGATCGGTTTGGACTTCATTCGGCCGGACTCAACCATAGGCACCTCCTCAGCAGCTATCGGATTTGGGTAAGTTATTGTGCTGCTTAGAAAATAGAAAATTGATACACTACATATACAAATAATGACGGATTACTTGAAACATGGAGACTTAATGATAGTTATATTAGACACTTATTGCCACTTACAAATTGAAGAATATTTATGCAGTACATATGGAAACCTACTCATTATATTAAAATTGGCATTGTAGCAAAACAATTTGTAAGGTAAGCATATGAAAGCTACTAACAAGTTTTATGCTCCAGTCCCTTAATTAGATGGTGGTACCATAATCATGTGGGTGTGAGCCTTGCCCCATGGAAATTGGCATAAGACTTTGAACTGTTAGCATTAGCAATAAGTCCTTATCTATATAGTTTTCTCGATATAGTAAGACATTGGTAAGATTACATTAAATTTTGTCATGATATTTTAATCAATCCCTCAGTTTTTATAATTTCTTATTCAAGATTACAGTTCATGTCTTTATGACCCTACCTAGTCCAATCCCCTCTGCTAAAGGAAAGTCGCAAATCTAGTCCACAAAAATCCGTGCTCCCTTTGGTTCTGAACCTCTATTTTGATCAAACCTCCATTTGAATTAATAGTTGTAATCAATGTGAGATTTTTCCTTGCAATCTTGAAAATTTCAGTCAGACTTCTCTTGCACTTCTTGCTTGTTTATTTCTACGGAAGCTTATTCGATTAATGGTGTTGGACAGTGTAAGCACCTACCAGTCTGGCACGCTAGGTGACTCGGCCCTCGCTGTTGATGGGATCTTTGGACTTGGCCGAGGACCTCTTTCACCCATCTCACAGTTAGCTTCCAGAGGAGTGATACCGCCAGTATTCTCTCATTGCTTTAAAGGAGAGGGCCTTGGCGGTGGTACTTTTGTTCTGGGAGAGATATCTGAGCCGGGGATGGTTTACACTCCCCTTGTCTCAGCACAGTGAGTACTTTTCTGTTTTCTTCTCTATTTGATTGAACCAATTTCAGTTTAATATTGTATCATTTATTATTCTACTGCAAGTTATTGTTGTTCAATTGACTGGGAAATTCAAACACTAACACAACATCCTTTCCATAATTTTGCAGGCCTCACTATAATCTATATCTGCAAAGCATTGCAGTGAATGGAGAGCTGTTGCCCGTCGATCCAGCAGTCTTCGCAACCTCCACTGGACGTGGAACGTTTGTGGACAGTGGGACAACCCTGGCATACCTGGTGGAAGAAGCATATGAACCATTCATAAGCGCTGTAAGTAAAATTTCCTTCCATTGGTCCACCAAGTTGCTCTTCTGTTTCTGTCTTTTGTGTTGCTTTTTTATATTCTGTTTGTTCCTTGCTCTTAGTTGGGTGGTCAGGGATCATTCCTCTTTGTTTCTGTATAGATCTTCCCTTTCCTTGCATTGCCTTCCTTGCTTTGTTACGTTTTCATTAATATAATTGCCCGCAATTATTAAATCAAAAGGCAGAATCAAAAGGAAGAGAAAAAGACATACTATTTTCAAGTAACTTAGGACGAGTTAGCTTCTGCATCTCCATATCTGATTCCTGTGACTAGTACTTATTCGAGGCTTTTCCTGGAATCTAAACACCTGCTGCAACAAATATCCTTTTTGCACGAGGCTACTAGAATTCTATGGACCATACATGATTGGAAGCAGACTACACTAAACTTGTGGTTCTTGCGTAGTAAGCTGGCTGTATCAGTTGTCACCCTCTTGCAACTTGTAAGAGACTCTTGTACCATTATTAAGAATGCCCTAGTATTAGTCGCAGTTGTAGAATTAACTCTGTGATCATACTTATGGAACTCTTGAAGCTGTTCTATGTGCTAAAAAGTAATGACTTGTTGTTTAGGTCACTGCTGTGGTCTCACCGTCCGCGACTACTAAAATAATTGGCGGACAGCAGTGTTACTTGCTGAGTTCCAGGTTTGACATTCTACCATGAAATGATTGGTTTTCACATCTATGAAAATTATTGGATTGGTATTTGGATGCTTTATAAATTCTACGTTGCTCTATGACCTAAGAGTGAATGTCTTCATGTGCACTTGTGCAGTGTATCTCAAGTCTTTCCTGTGGTGAGCTTGAATTTCGCCAACAACGCTTCTCTAATATTAAAACCAGCCGACTACCTTTATGAATTTGTTGTAAGTTGTTACAGTTCTTGACTTAGGAATTCTGATTCTTTTGGCTTGATTTATAGAATTCACTTGTTTCTCCCTCCATGAAGTCTAATAGGCCATACTTCCTTGCAGGGCGATGCACGTGGGACGTGGTGCCTAGGCTTTCTGAAGAAGCCAGGGCTGACCATCTTAGGAGGTTAGTCGATGTATCTTTTTTGATAAAGTTTGAATGTCTTCTTCCAATTGCTGGTGCTGCAAAAGCACCAAACTGATTGGTTGACTCAGAATGTTCTGTTCCATTTTCTAATTTTGATTACATGTCCAGATCTTGCTCTGAAAAACAAGATCTTTGTTTACGATCTGTTTCGGCAACAGATTGGATGGACGACTAACTACGATTGTAAGTTCAGTGATATCCTACGATAATCTTTCCTTCCTTAGTTGGTTCCTTTTTGTTTCAACTAGTATCACTGACCCTTTCCTTGTTTCTCCCTTCATCCAGGCTTGAAGGCAGCACATGTTTCTGTTCCCAAACAACGAAGCTCAAGCTCTTCTTCCAGAGACATGTTGATGCTGTTGATGTTGCTTCCTCAAGCAATTATCATTCTGTTCTTACAACTATCATAGTAGTTTAGATATCTTAGTCCCTGTCCCTGTATCTATACATTCTTCGAATGATATGATCAATGATTCTTGGCAGAGTGTAGAAGAAACAAAAAGAAAAAGCCTTGTATGATTGATTTTCTTACAGAAACTCCACTGCAAACTTGCCAAATCGGCAAGTCGACTCTCCAAAACTTGAATTCAGCACATCACTGTCTGTGACACTAAAAATTCTCTACCCTTTGGCCTTGGCCACTCTTCCTAAACCATAAAATGCTTAGAATTGGTCCTTTCCTAAAGTTTCTCCTGGCTCGATCTATAACCATCTGTCAAAGTTCACCTCTTGTCAAGGTCACTTATTTATCCCTTTAAAACAACATTGACATGCTCATATTTGTCTTCAATATGCTCTGGAGAAAAGCAGTCTTCGACATTTGTCTCGTTTCTCTCGATGTCATTTTAGAACAAGGGGGGATCTAGGGTTCTATTGTGGCACTTCGGTCGTATTAAGTTTGATAGCTAATCGATAATTAACCTCTTTACTTAAAATTCAAAATACAATTTCTATCTAGAATGAATGCGGTCACTAAAATGTGATCAATATAAAAAACATCATTGAACTTTAAAATTTATCAAAATGGTAATTTACGATTCTGGATCAGTAAAAAAAATGACTACTTGCCCCAACCCTGCAAAATATTCCATTTAGAATGCTTAGCCATGTGAGCCATCAGCCATGCATACCTCCCCCACCTTCTTTCCGATTTTATGCGTGGATTCTGGCGGCATAGAATTACCCCAAAAAAAAAATAATGATAATAATATCTTGAAACTGGAGGCACATATGAGTCCTATGGAGACAATTCTAATTGTTGGTATTTCAACTACAATGATACAATCATAGGCACATTGTATATTTGTCATTAAAGCTTTGTCAATTTGTATATTAATTAAAGTAATAACAACAATTAGTTTCGCCTCAAAAATCATTTTTTTATAATGGTGAAATAAGTTAATAAAAAAGTCATTACAAGAGGGAAAGATGGATTTTAGCTCAAATGATTATTGGGAGGGTAATTTCTCGCTTGATGTTCGACTTCAGTCAATTCGGTTTAACTACTTCATTAATTATAACAGGCTGGTTGATCTCCCCCTTCAAGGAGCGTTGTTTACTCGCAGTAGTGGCGGATCGAGCGCCTCTTGCCTCTAAAATCGTTTCTATAGCAGCAAATTAATTTATGCCTCCAAAAATATTAAATATGACTATAATAAAAAAATTGAGTTGTACTTAAATAAGAGGCCAAACTTTAAATGACAGTTACGAAAATGTGCCGCTATGTGTAATATTTAAAATAAATGTGAAAACATAATAGTTTTAGAGGCACATAATTTAATGTTTAGAGGCAAACAATATATTACTCGTGTATAACATACTTTAGGAGACAAGTATTTTATGCGCAACCAATTTTTGGCACTAAAAGTCATTTTTCTTGTAGTGCTATCTCGTCCACTGATGCTAGCTCGACTGAATCTCTTGAGTTTCTCGATTCTTTGCCCTTGTTTGACACGACACCTATCGTGCAAGCACAACCCGTTTGCTACTCCGACATACTTTTATTCTTCTCTCACTTCCAGCTCCAGTGATGACCTATCTTCTCCTGGACAATCGCAAACATCCGGCTCCAGGCTCCAGCGCATCTTTTCATCCCGAGTCTTCACCTATGACTAGCAGATCCTCAAGCTTGACTTCTGAGATTGGGGCTGATTTAGCAGCATCTTCGGCAGCAAGGAGTGAGGTGCAACAGCTCATTCACTTGCACAGGTCTGCTCGGGAAATTTTAGGACAACCACCTACCCGAATGCAAGATTTTGTTGGTTTTTCAGCTCAACCTGTCTTTGTTCCCACTCGTTATTCTCAGGCAGTTGGTGACCCTAGGCGGAACTCTACAATGAAGGTTGAAATGGACGCTTTAGAAACTAGTCATACGGTGGGTATACACGATAAATTTGAAGCCATATGGTGACATAGAGCGGTGTAAAGCACGAGAGTGGATCAAGGTTTCAAACAGAAATATGAGATTGACTATGATGAGACGTTTGCTCCAGTGGTAAACATGCATACAATTCGGTGTGTCTTTGTTGTAGAGGTTATGCGAGGTTGGCCTCTTCTTCAGTTAGTTGTGAAGAATGTGTTTCTGTACGGAGATTTGAAAGAAAATAATATATATGGAGCGAACCTTGGTTATGATAAAGATGATTCCACCATGGTCTGCAGGCTGATTCGCTCCTTGTATGGGCTAAAGCAGGCTCCTCGGACATGGTTTGAAAAATCCCATGGTATGATTATCCATGATGATTCCTCTCAAAGTCAGAATGATGCTTCTTTATTCACACGGGTACCTGTGGATGGTATTGTGGTACTATTGATCTATATAGATGATATGGCTATTGCCGCCAGTAATCTTGACGAAATTCGGACTGTGACTCAGGAGTAACGTCAGGCTTTTAACTTGAAGGAGTTGGGTGCGGTATCTTATTTTCTCGGCCTTGAAATTAGTTGTTCTCCCCATGGCTTGTTTGAGTCTCAACGAAAATAAAATTATGGATCTTCTGGAATCGGCTCATTTTAAAGATTGTATTCCTTGCTCTACTCCTACGGAACAAAATCTGAAATTGAGCCGAGATGCAGGGGAAGTGTTGGAAGATCAATCAGTATATCGGAGTCTAGTTGGGAGCGTAATCTACTTAACTCACACTTGACCTGACATTGCCTACTCAGTACAAGTTGTGAATCGGTTTTTGGGAGTGGCGACTAATACCCAAAGCAAACGTAGGACGTCAATTTATTCTTTCCATAAAAGGATAAATTCTCTTGGTTAAAGATATATGGAGTTGAAATCTCATTAGCAACTATCTTCTTTCTCAAAAAGTTATACAAGTGCTTAATCTTAGGCACTTTCCACAAGTACTTGTCTCAATGAGTAGTTTCATGCATATAGCTGAAAGCATTTTCTTGCAATGTTGACATTGAGCCTTTAATGCTGCCTTAAACAATACTTTCTTGAAGTATTTCCATACATGAGACCTCAACAGTTTACTACAAATAGAAACTACAGTAGGAGCTTCACTATTGCTTTCACCAAACAATGAATGAGAATTTCCAGGAACCTTAGATAACTTAGTGGTTTCATCTATTTCTGAAGCCATTTCCAGGAACCCTGGACAACATAACATACAAATATTATCACTAGCTTAAAGATATAAGAAATAACATATAATTAATATTATCAAGTTGGGGGGTTTGGAGATATGATTGCCTCCAGATGTGGATACTGAGGTTTAGAAATCCCTCTCCCAAATACATACACGATTGCAAGATTCATGAATCATGATTGTCAAATCCGGGTGTAGGGAAAAATAAGGTGAGTACTGTGCAATAATGGGTATCATAGTTGGCTATAGGGATCTTCCAATTGAGAAGATCCATCGACCTAAGACAAAGAGAAGGGTCTATCTATTTTATTTAGTTATTCAGTTAACCAATCAAACAAACAAGAAGAGTTAATACTTGATCGATCAATTGTATAGAAGGCGCTACGGAGTCGTCTATGATCCTAAACATGTCATCAGAGGTGAAGATTTTATTTTGGCAGTTTTCAAGAGATGATCTCCCATTGAAGGTGAACCATGTTATTCCAAGGTGCAACCCCAACTGCCCGTTTTGTGACTTACTAGAGACTTATGTTTTTCATTGGGGAGTGCCAATTGACCAGCCATATATTACATCACTCCCCCCCCCCCCCCCCCGAAGAAACTCTTTTCATAAAGACATAACAATAGTATAATAGAGTGAGTGGAGCTAGTGGCATAGCCAGTATTTTAGGCAAGAGTGGTCCAACTTCAAAAAAATTAAAATGACTATCAATTTTCTATAGTGATCCACAACGAGTTCTCATATTTTGAAAAGTTTGTAAAATACACTCACCATCCAAGCTATCAAGAATGTCACTCTCAAGGTATCCAACCAAAAGTCATTCATGAAATCATCACTCATTCGACTCTGAAGAGTGTGCTTCATGTAGTTCATTATCAAAAATACTCTTTGAGATGTATTTTCTTATATTAGTTTACTTATTATAATCGACAGAGTGACTATATATACAATAGAACATTTTATGCATCACGTAAGTAATTATATGATTTAATGAAAAATAACAAAAGTAACTATATAAGGGTTCCAATTCAAATTAGAGCTAAAATATAAATTTATACTCATAAGTTTTTATGTTCTAGTTCCAAACCAAGGGTGCCATGGAACCCCCCTATGCACAAGCTCCCTTCGCCCGTGTTCTCCGAGTTAGATGATGATATGGTGGAAGAATGGAGTGTCCTGGTGTGGTTTCTACTGAAGGAACAAAACGCGCAACTCATTAGTGGCGAGAAGACAACCGAGGATATAAGTGTGTAATTGGTTTCTAGTCTCCTTCAGGAGTTCTAGTCTCACCAGCAGCAAGAAGATGCTCCACCAACGTCCCTTGCTCCAACTACCTGGCGCATTCAACGGCTAGATGCGATAGAGTGGAGCGACAGGTAGACAACCTTCGATGTTCTAGCTTGACCAGCTCCGACTGGATTCTGTAAACGTTTATATTACTTAATTAAGATTATTGTAGGTTATAGAAAAAAGTTCTTTTGAGTATGCTAATGAAAATTGATATATATTTTTAGTACGAAAAGTATAGAAATATGAGACAAAATGAGTGGACCAAGGGTTGGAAAACCATACCAGATTTCATGCTAGATTAGTCTATGGTAGGGTATCTTGTGGTAAGATCTTAGTTCAACCGTTTCATATAGGTAAAATACCAATATGAAATAAAAATAATATATAATTGTTAAAATACTCTATCAACAAAATATGCTATCATACCAGAAAAATACAAGAATTACAGAAGATAGCAATGGATCAAACCAACTCTCCCCCAAAGTCCTTTATTCCCCTCCCTACCCTTTCATGATATAAACCATTAGATTTCTCTTCCATAAATTACAACCATTAGATATGATTTTGTAGTAATACAAACCAAATTGATTTTGTACTATAACCTATTCCATATTTAAATTCAAACCAATATGGAAATTCAAATCCAAAAAATTAAGTAAAAACATCCTCAGCTGTGACCAATTCATGTTGGTAAATTATATATAGAAACCTCATTACTATTTTATTTCTTTTCTACATGATATTATTGCTGTATTTTTTTTTTTTTGTAAAAACAATTATGGCAATGAGGTCAATTAGTTTCTAGAAATATAATGGAAAATAAACGGTAAGACTTTTATCGAGTTTCCAAAAGAGTGGAAGAAAATATGGTATATTTGGATCCTCTATCTTTTTTGCTTCCTATATAAACCAACAATAATGCTCTTGGTATCTCATAAATCATAGATTGAAATCTCATAGAGAGAAAAATTCGTATATTGATAAATTGACAATCCATATCAACAATAATGGAGAAATCTTATTCCAAGTTCATGTTGTATGTCGTGCTTTTGATTTTTGTTGTTTCTCGTAAGTATACTTTTGTCTTTGTTGCATGATTGCACATAAGTTCGTAACTGTTATATTGTTTTTCATTACCAAAATGTTGAATTACTTTCTTCACTAACATGATTCATTATTATCCAATTCAACAAATTGGTTACTACAGATGGGAACAATAAACAAATTGGAGCAGAAGGAAGAAATGTAAGCAAACGTTGCCTAGGTCCAGAAGATTGTGCTTCGTGGGGCCCTGAATGTCATTGTAACATGGGGCTTCATATGTGTGTCTGCGATGTCGAACAGAGTGTAAGCCCTAATGTAAATTTCAAGGGACTTGAAGAAGGATATTAAAAATGAACATGAATATCATATGAATAAAACGAGTGGGAATGAATCATGAGTGCTAATGTGCAATTTCCTTTGGAAGACGACTAACATTACAGAAAGTGGATAGCTCTACTTTTGCTTTCAAGGGTGTTCATATGTTTACTTGCTCTCCTAACAAATTTTGGTGCTTTAGCATCCTTATATAGTTAGCATCCTTATATAGTCAAATTTTGGTGATCCAACCCGCATGTAGATGTACTCAACTTAGTTCAATCCGGGTAAAAATGGGAAAAACCCGACGTCGGCGGGTTTTGGACCAAGTGTGGATGAAACTCGCTTTTGGAATTCACGATTTGGGTTTGGAGCGGGCTTCACTAAAATTCAACCTGCTTTTCACCCGAACCACACCCGGAAGGAAAAATAATATTATTTTTGTACATCTAACCCTAACAATATAAATAATTTAGTAATGCTATTAGTTTTTATGACAGTAAAATTCTAATAATATGAATCATTATTGATTTTATTTGTCTTTATAGAAATATAATCTTAGAAAAAATTATGAGGAGATATAAATTACGAGGTGACGTACTCCCACATGGTGGATGCAACTACATTTTGATATTTGATTAATTTAATAGTTCGAGAAGGACTACATATGTCTAATGGATGTTGCGACAACTGTAGTAGGTAAACTTGAAGGGGAAGCTCCTTGAAGGAGTTTATTTGCAAAAATGAGATAAGATACATCCTTGAAAAATAAAATCAACCAAACTAAACAAATACTAGTATGGATTCAAACTATATGAAAGAATGTGGTACAATTGTCTCAATGAATATATGATGAAAGAAGGATAAAAAATGACCTTATTTGCCCATGTTTTCCTCCCAAAGAGATTGGGTAGTAATTTTGTTATAATCTCAATTTATGTTGACAACATAAACATCATTAGAACTCCTGAAGCGTTCCCAAAAGCCTTTGATTTCTTGAAGAATGTTTCGAAATGAATTTTTTTCGAAGAACGAAGTTCTGCCTTGGATGGCAAATTGAATATGAAAGAGATGGTACATTTCTGTATCATGAATGATATTTTGAAAATGTATCTAAGCGATTTTATGTGGATAAATCAAACCCATTGAGTAGCCCAATGGTTGTAAGGTCACTTTACCAGGGGGGGGGGGGAATTCATATTGACCTCGAGGAAGCATTGAAGAACTACTCGAACCTGAAGTGTCGTATCATAGTGAATTTGGAGCATTGATATATTTAGCTAGTCATACAGGATTCGGTACATGGTTTGTTGTGAATATATTGGAAAGACATAGCTCTTCTCCCACCAGAAGACATTGGAATGGAATTACACATTTACTTTATTACCTCAAGGAATAATAGATAATTGGTCTATTCGGATGTATCGAAGATGGATTTAGTAGGATATGCAGATGCAAGATACTCTCTGTCTCTCCTTCACTCTTAATTGGATGGCCAGGAATCATTCCTCTTTGTTTCTGAAGTGGTTCCCTTGCATTGCCTTCCGTGTTTTGTTATGTTCTCATTAATATGAGTGCCAACCACTATCAAACAAAAAATAGAACCAAGAGGAAGAGACTAGAAAAGCCATGCCATTTTCAAAGTAACTTAGGTCGAGTTAGCTTCTACATCTTAATATATGAATCCTATGACTAGGACTTACCCGTGGCTTTTCCTTGAATCCAAAAACATGTTGCAACCAATATCCTTTCTGCACAAGGCTACGAGAGTTCTATTGACCATGCATGATTGGGCGCAAGCTACAATGAACTTGTGGTTTTTGGTAGTAAGCTGGCTATATAAGTTGTGAACCGCTTGCAAGAGAATCTTGAAGCATTATTAAGAATTCCCTAGTAGTAGTCGTATTAGTATAACAAACTGTGTGAGAATACTTATGGAACTAACAAGAGAATGATTTGTTTATTTAGGTTACTGGTGTTGTCTCGCAGTCGACGAATCCTAAAATAAGCGGGGGGATGCCAGTGTTAGCTACTCATTTCCCGGTATGGCATCCTATTCCTATCATGAAATGATTGTTTTCTGAATTATGTTCATAATGAAAAATTCTTAGATGGGTGTTTATGCTTTATGTTCATATGTTGCACTATTACCTACAAATGTATTCCTTCATGTGCAATCTAAATCAAGCATATCCTGTTGTGAACTTTAATTTTACCAACAGAGCATCTATCATATTAAAACTAGCCGACTACCTCTATGAGTCCGTTGTAAGTTGATACAGTTATGACTTTGGGCATTCTGATTCTCTTGCCTTTGTTTATGGAATTCAATTTCTCCCTCCACAAAGTCTAATAGACCATACTTCCTGGTAAATGGATGTTGGTGGTTTATGGTGCATTGGCTTTGTGAAGAAGCCAGGATTGACCATCTTAGGAGGTTAGTCTGTGTATTGTTGTATTTAAAAGTCTGAATGCCTTCCTCCAATAGTTGTGTTGCAAAACACCACATTGAATTCTTTTTGGCTGATTAAGAATGTTGTTCTCAATTTGATTGCCTTGTCTTATTTTAATGTGCAGATCTAGTTCTGAAAGATAAGATCATTGTGTACGATCTGGTGCACCAGCAGATCAGATGGACTAACTACAACTGTAAGTTTAATAAATCCTATGAGAATCTTTCCTTCCATCCTTTGGTGGTCAATTCCTTTTCGTTTCACTAGTATCGTTGACCCCCTCCTTGTTTACCCCCTTATGTAAGCTTGAAGGCAGCAAACGTCTCTGTTCCCAAAAAACGAAGCTCAGGCTGTTCTTCCCGAGAAATGTTGTTGATGTCGCTGCCTCTCGTAATCACTGTTATCTTCTTCCAAATAGCGTAAGTGATTGGGATCAAGAGAGTGTAACTTATTGTCCATAATGAGTGAGAACGGTCGTTTAGGTATCTTAGTCCGTGTAAATATACATTCTCTGGATGAGATGATCAATGATTCAGTCCTCTTTCCCCTAGTTCATGTCACTGTTATGAGCTACTAAAGAGAAAGCATTGGCAAATCGGCAGTGTGTTGACTATTTAGCCAACATCACATTTGAACAAAGAAAATGCTTCAATGAATTTTGTACGTCGATAGGAAAATTTCACCGCAAGCTGGCCAAGTCGTCAAGTTGGAACTTTCCAAAACTTGAACTCAGTACCTTACCAAAACCATAAAATTCTCTACCTTCGTCCCCACAAGAGCATTAACCACCTTAGACAAACTTTTAAAAAAAGTGTCTTTTACATTTATCTTGGTAATATGTTAACTAAACTATGATCAATACAACTTAGGTTGCTATACAAAACTCTTCCTATATGTAGTACTAAAAAATCACTTAGGTTGTAATTTAAGAAGAGATATAATTAGAGGTGTTCAAATGGTTATCAAGGTAATTAACAAATTAATTAAGACTAGTTTTATTAACCGTAAAATAAAATATTATAACCAAACAGACCGAGCTAATACAACAATCAAATTAACCAAAATAAAGTTTAACCATGCTTCTGTCAAATTGGGGTGCTCAATTAGTACGATATTGTCCGCTTTGGGCCAAGCCCGCACGCTTTTACTCTTGGTGGACACTAATATACAAGGGTTCCTTCCCATGTATTTCCGATTTGGTACTTGGATTGTCCCATAACAATCCTCCCTGCAAGCCAAGGACCACGAACATCGTGTCCACTATCACTGATTATCTTGATCCGCCAGACATCTTGTATCGATGGGCTTCTCGGTACAAGGATCTTCCCGGACGCGGAACTCTCTTTGATCCGCCAAACACGTGGATCTCTCCACTAGACAAACACGGACCTCCCTCGATCCGCCAAACCAGATGTAGCCCAAACGTGGATCTCTCTTGGATCCACCAAACCAGACGCAGATCTCAAATCCTGAGGTCACCGAATGAAGGTCCACTCTGACGTCCACCACCCAGTCCATTGTCAAAAGTACTCTTTGGTGGGATTTTCTTATTTTAGTTTACTTATTATAATAGACAAATATAGAACGTTTTAATGCATCATGTAAGTAATGATGATTTAATGAAAAATAACAAAAGTAATAATAGAAGGGTTCCAAATTCAAAATTTAGCTAAAACATAAATTTGTACCCATAATTTTTTTTCTAGTTCCAAATCAAGGGGTGCCATGGAACTCCACCCCCCCCCCCCCACACACATGCACAATCTCTCTTCGCCCCCGAGTGGAGCATGTGTTCTCTGAGTTAGATTATGATATGATGGAAGAATGTATGCTCATGCTATGGTTTCTATTGAAGGAACACAACGGGCAACTCATTAATGGTAAGAAGACAATCGAGGATATAATTGTGAAATCGGTTTTTAGTATCCTTTAGGGGTTCTAGTCTCACCATCAACAAGAAGATGTTCCACCAACGTCCCTTGCTCCAACTACCTGGCAGAAATCACTAGCGGGACAGGCTTAAAAGTACCCTTACATTATGTAGAAGGCAAATTTCTAATGGCGACAGTGAAGCACCATCATGAAATTTGGGACCCTACCCTGGTTGAGAACGATTTCCAAAATCCTATTATAAAAACATATTGTCTTAAGTTGTTAAATAGATTGACAAAAAACTGGCAGCTAAGCTCATAGATATGGTAGTGCTCTGTTTGAATATTGGAAATAAAACTGAAGATTGTGGAGAGAGTAGATTCACTATTGACGCTAAGCTAACGAGGCTACACATATAATGGTGTGTTCAATGGCTAGAAGCGATAGAGTGGAGCGACAGGTAGATAACTTTCGATGTTTTTGTTCGACCAGCTCCGACTATTAAAATTTATATATTTATTAGTATGAAAAGTATACAAATATGAGAAAAAATGAGGAGCTATAAGATAGTTTTAACCAAGGATTGGAAAACTATACCATAAGTCACATTAGATTAGTATAAGGTAGGGTATTTTGTGCTATGATCTTGATTCAACCATTTCAGACGGGTAAAATAATATTTTTAAATAAAAATAATATATATTTGTTAAAATACTCTACCAACAAAAATATGCTATCGTACCGGAAAAATACAAGAATTTAGATATCAATGGATCAAACTAACTCTCCCCCTAAATCCTTTATTTCCATCCTTACCCTTTCATGATATAGACCATTAGATTTCTCTTCCAAAAATCACAACCATTAGATATGATTTTGTGCTTTTCACCCAAACCACACCCGAAAGGAAAAATAATATTATTTTTTGCATCTAACCCTCACAATACGAATAATTTTGGAATGCTCTTAGTTTTTAGGACAGTAAAATTCTAATAATATGAATAATAATTGATTTTATTTGTCTTTATAGAAATATAATTTTAGAAAAAATTATGAGCTTTTAATGAAGAATTGCCATCAGCCCATGTCTTCCCATCTTTTTGTTTTTAACTACTCGTGCATTACCTCATATCCAATTAGCACATTCTCCACTATTTGATAATCACATACGATACGAATGTGTACTGCCCATGTGACATAATCTCAAGCAAAAACAGTAGTCAACCACTTCGTGACCACCTAATACACAAATTGCGTAACAAAATGTGACGTTGTTGGAAGAAATGAGTAACAAATTTTGTCACGTCTTCGCCGACAGTATCCCAATATTTATAATAAAAAAAACACCCTAGCTAGTAAAACTATCAGAACTCAACTCTTTTGCAGATAGAGAAGACAATTCTTTTAATCTTCTTTTGGTGTATTGGACTAACAAGGTTACCATTCATTCTCCTCGTTACTCAAGGTTGTATGGGCAGCCTTACAACCTTTGAAGTAACCTATACCATATCACAATCCAACCTGTGAATCCTATAGTTCCAATCTCTACCAATTTCATGACTTTGAATTCAAAGCCCATCTCGCATCGAACCTAAACAGAGGTTGCGAGTTGTGTTTTGTAGTTAGAGCTGGATGACTTCTGCTTGTATTTTTCTCTGCAAAATCTATTTGGATGCTTGGGTGTGGGGCAAGGTTTATGAGGCTATAAGGATGATGATTGCAAATAGGCTGTGTTCACGTTCAGATCAGTTTATATTGCGATTAAGTTCACCGGTCATAAGATTAAAGGTACAATTCAAGTTGTACTATAAAAGGGATAAATTAAAACATTAATACTTTAGAGCTTTAAGCCACAATTAAAAATTGTCCACCATTAGGACTCTCAAGGAAACTTTGAGAGAAACGTCTTCCTGCTGCTTCTCTTCAACCCAAGCCACTTCCTCAATTAAAGCTATTGATCTTTAGAATCTATTATATGCTTTGAGAAATGATGAGTTTAATTTTATTGTTTAATAAGTTTGGTTAGTGTTTTCTCAATTAAAACGATTGATCTTTATAATTTTATTATATGGTTGAGAAATGATGGGTTTAATTTTATTGTTCATTATGTTTGGTTAATGTTCTCTCAATTAAAGCTATTGATCTTTGAAATCTATTATAGAAATGATGGGTTTAATTTTATTGTTCATTATGTTTGGTTGATGTTTTCTCAATTAAAGCTATTGATCTTAATAATTTATTATATACTTGGGAAATGATGGGTTTAATTTTATTGTTCATTATGTTTGGTTAATGTTCTCTCAATTAAAGCTATTGATCTTAATAATTTATTATATACTTGGGAAATGATGGGTTTAATTTTATTTTTCATTATGTTTGGTTAATGTTTTCTCAATTAAAGCTGTTGATCTTTAGAATCTATTATATGCTTGAGAAATGATGGGTTTAAACCAGGGTGTAGCCAGGATTTGACACCAGGTGGGCCGAAAATAATTAAATAAAAATAAAATAAATATTTATAAAGTATACAACGTTCTTTGAAATCATTGAAAAATCTCTCAAAATAGCATAGTGGTGAATTGAACCTAGGTGCTTCACACTAAAACCTAGATTAGCTACCAGTAGACTGACTACATGATAGTTATATGAATTAATGTTCTGCCGAGTCCTACTTATTCAAATTGTATCTAAATATCCTTAATGTCCTAAGGCTCGGACTATTCCCGGCCCACCCTACCTTCCAAGTAGCTCCGCCCCTGGTTTAAACCGATAACCAAACCATCAAGAGGCTTATCAATTTTTGGATAATCATAAACCGATAAGCTCCTTAATGGTTTAGATAAACCAAAAATATGGTTGACTTCAAAGAAATCAGGGGTCCTTATCGATTTATTGGTTTTTAATTGGTTTCTTGGTTTTAACCGAAACCAAAACCATTAATATGCTAAATGGTTTAAAACCGAAAAACCAAAATCGTTAACCTTTTAATGGTTTGGTTTTGGTTAAAACCGAAAAACCAAAACCAAATTGACAGCCCTATATATACGTGCCAATACGGGGCTACTTAGCTCCTTTCACAACCACACTCAGCAAGATAACTTAGACAAAGATCAAAAGATCAGAAAACGATTGAGCACGAACGAGAAGGAGAAATGGTAGCCGTGGGAGAATCACTACTACAAGAAGCGGGAGCTAAAGGCCAGGAGGGTTTTAATGACCACCACCCTCGTCGTCGTCGCGAAAAGAAATGGACGAAATGGGACAAAATCGCCGTCGTGAGCGTTTCCGCGACGCATCTGCTGGGCTTTTGCGGTCTGTTTTGCTTCAGCTGGAGTCGGTTCGGGGCCGCGCTTTTGATCGGGATCGTAACGAGCCTCTTCGGCATCAACCTCAGTTACCACAGGCATCTCACCCACAAGAGCTTCAAGCTCCCCAAGTGGCTTGAATATTCGTTTGCTTATTGCGGCGTTCATGCACTTCAGGTACGTAACTATTTAGTTAGAAGAAGTTACAGATTGAAGTAGTATTGTAATTTGTTTAGATCTGAAACTTTTTTTCTGAATAATTCGAGTTATTTCAAGGCCAGGAAATGCAAACCTAATAGGGATGGCAATTTAGACCTGACCCGATTTACCCGACCTGTTTAGCCTGTATTGGCGCGGGTCAGACCCGCCTTGTAGGCGGGGCGGGGCAGGCATGGGTATCTCTCATCAACCCGACCTGCCCTGACCCGCCCCGTTCTTGACCCGTTCTTGTCTAAATTACATATAATCTTAGTCAAATTACTTAGGATTCTCCTCTTATTACATTATATTTTAGCTATAACAAAGTTGTAATTAAGTGAAAACCTCAATTTCTTCAATAATTTAACTAGATTTTATCATGTTATGGTTTCTTTCTTGATCTTTTTAATGAAAATAACGAATATTTCTAATGCTTTTTACTTAAATTACATACCCAATGGGTCGACCTACCCCAACCCGCGCCCCGTAATAAATTATCCGACCTGGACCTGACCTGCCATACCCGTCCCGGACCTGCCCATTGCCATTCCTACCTAACAGTCTGTTCTATCCGAAATTCGTACAGATTAATTTATCATTCCTTGTGCATTTGAGCGTCTTGTTTTTTTTTTAGGATGAACATAAAACAATTTAGCTTCTCCCGAGTTCAGACTAGAGACTTTCAATTTTGGTATTGTTTTTCGTACTAGCAAGTTAAAAACTACATGTTATATTGATATTTTAGTGAGCTTTTTTTTTATAATGATTGTATGCTTTAAAATACATCATTTTAGTGAGATTTTTATAGTGGGATTCTTTTAATTAGTAATAATTAAACATAATGACTTTGAGTGGTATGATGCAGGGAGATCCATTGTCATGGGTTAGCAACCACAGGTTTCATCATCAATATACTGATACAGAAAGAGATCCACATAGCCCCGTGGTAGGGTTTTGGCATAGTCATATGGGTTGGATCTTCGACTCCTCATCTATCAAGGAAAAGGTAATCGCTAGATAATCAAGTTCAACAAAAACATTATTAATTAGGGTAGTGTTAATTAGTGTGATTTTTAAAAATGCTTGTATTCTTTATAATACATTTTTTTTCATGTATCCACACAATACATGTATTATTGTGTGATGTGACAAAAACATTTATTCAAAATGAATGAACGTACAGTCTCACCTGCACGAAATCTGCAATGTTTTAACCCTTGTAATTAACGGTGCTTCGTTGTAATTACATCACTATATATCAATGGCTTACACCTCTGCTAGCTTTACTAGCTAACTTTGCAACGATTTGAATCCGTGCAAAAATTGCTCACAATTACGACGTGTAGTCAGAATTTAAACCCTTATACTATGATAGCAGCAACTATAATCCTTGTAGCAACTATATGCAAAGAACTTCCACCGACGGTGGCCGAAAACCCTTGCTGCATGTAGCAACGAACTTTTCGGCCGTTTTAATCCATGCTATATGTGCTTGCATCTCTATCATGATATTGTTATAATATCGTCATATTTGCTAGACTAGCTATAAACCAACTGTTACAAGGCACAACCTTTGTAGTCGTCACCCATTACATGAAAAATACCACCTACCTAATAAGTTCCTAACCATCTTCATGCATGTCTTGCAGTGTGGGAAAAGAGGGAATGTGGGTGATCTGGAAAAGCAAGCCTTCTATAGGTGGATTCGTAAAACCTACGTCATACATCCTCTCAGCCTTGCCATCCTCCTCTATTCGCTTGGTGGATTTCCTTACATATGCTGGGGAATTGTGAGCATTTTCAATTTCCCTAGCATCACTCAAATACATGCGCAATTAGATTAGATTTTCGTAACGTGCATGAACGCGCGCGTATGTTCAAATCTCGTTAACCCCGATGTAGCATATGATAATAATGACTACTCTTGACTAACTTATATTGGTTAATTCAGGGTGTGAGGGTGGTGTGTTGTTACCACGCGACATGGTCGGTTAACTCGGCTGCTCATATATGGGGAAGTCAGGATTGGAACACCAACGATCTGTCCAGGAACAACTGGTAAATATTTTTGTTAATTAGGGTTTTGCTACAAACTAACTTAGTTTGACAATTGACATAGTATAATTGATTTTGTTTGGACCAAAATCAAATAGGTGGGTGGCAATTATGACGTTTGGGGAAGGCTGGCACAACAATCACCATGCATTCAACAATTCGGCAAGGCATGGGCTAGAATGGTGGCAGATCGACGTGACTTGGTACGTCGTGAAGTTCCTTCAAGCTATGGGGTTGGCCTATGATGTCAAGCTACCAACTCTGGTCCAAAGAGAGAAGATGGCTATCAAAAGTTGAGCATGGAGTCTTTGTGTTGATCAATTGATGACCTGATTTCTTATATCCGTGGCCACGTGCATATCGTCGCCAAAAGTACTCTCGTTATGTATTATCGATCGTTTTTGTATGAATAATCAAGTCACTATTAATTTATGTATTGTGTGATCCATGTGTTGAACAATCTGGAAGAGTAATGGAGATTTACAGATAGTTATTAATGAAATGATAATCCAACTGATTCAATCACTAAAAATTAGGGCTAGGTATGTGGGTGATTAATCCGCGATTTTAATATCAATTCACCCTTAAATAATTTGAGCCGCAGTGGATGGGTGATTGATGTGGGTGGATTGCGAATTGATAAATCTCCTACCCACACTCAATCAGATGAGTGGTGGGTGGATTGTTGGTCACCCGAATGACCTGCACCATATTTTCACATGACTAGATGTTGTTTCTTATTTATACTATTGAATAGTCATCAAATTTTCTAACCGCACTACCCAGTGCCCATAAACTTCCAAAGGTGAAGAACAAATAATATTTTTCGACTAATATTATTGGTTACTATGTCGAGTACACTACAAAAAGAGGAGGTTTGGGGACGATAAAAGTCGTCCCCAGAAATAGGAAAAATCGTCCCTATAGTTTTCAGGGACGACTAAGTCGTCTCCAATAAGTGGTTCCCTATACTCTTGTCCTCTATTATTTTAAGGATGATAAAAGTCTAGGTCGTCCCCATTACTAGGGACGACTGTCGTACTCGCAAGTCGTTGTCTCGTTTCTTGTCCATGATAGACAACATGTCGTCTCCAAAGCTATAGCTTTAGCGACAATAAGTCGTCCCCTAAACATCATTTCTAGGGACAAACTGTTGTCCCACATAATCGATTTCCTAATTGCGTTGGGCCAATATGGGGATAATTTGTTGTCCCCTTTTCTTTTTATAGGGTCAACATGTCGTTCCTATAGGTGTCAAAATGGAGTCCAAAATTTGTCCCCAAAAGCTTTATTCAAGGTCTACGAGTGGTCTCCTATACTATATCTTTAGAGACGACAAGTTGTCACCTATGACTTTTAGGGACGAACAATTGTCCCTTAACTTGTGTATTTGGGGACGAGGAGTTATCACTTATGCGCCTTTTGGGAATGACTAATTGTCCCCTATGTAACTCGTATGAGCGGAATGTTGTCCCTTAGCATGTGTCTTTAGGGACGCCTAATTGTCCCCTGTATCACTTGTGGGGACGATCAATTGTCCCTTAAACTGTGTTTTTGGGGATGCCTAATTGTCACCTATTAACTGATAGGGACAACCAATCATCCCTTATGAAGTGTCTTCAGAGGAGTCAATTTGTCACGTATATAACTTATAGGCACGACCAATTGTCTTTAACCTTTTATCGTTGGGGACGACTCATTGTTACCCATATATCATTTTGGGACAACCTACCGTCCCTTAAGTAGTAGCATAAGGGACGCTGGAATGTCATTTACGCAAATTCTAGTGACGACTAGGTGTCGCTTAAACGGTGTCTTTGGGAACGAGAAATTGTCACAATAGTAATTTATGGGGACCATCATGTGTCCCTTCACCAATGTCTTAGGAGGCGACAAATTGTCGTCTATATGAGTTTTATAGCAAAATGTCATAAAATCATCTATATAAAAAATAAAACAAAACTACCACAATGTCATCTCATCGAACATTACTAAAACCAACATTCATAGTTTGAACGAATAACCATTTTCTTGTGAAACTATGAGAATTCTAAGAAAAAAATAGATAACAAGTTTTAAATCTTCTATTATCTCTCTTTAACAAAAAAAAAAGTACCAACACTTAACTCTTTCTATCGCACACTTCCACCAACAAACTTAATTCTTCTTCTCCTAGCTCCCTGAAAGTGAAATTAGACAAAATTGGGTAAATTGCAAGTTTGGTCACTAGAATTGTTAAAAAATATCACGTTTGCCACTAAAATTAATTTATTCCATTCATGGTCACTTAAATTAGTTTCGTAATCCAAGTTTGGTCACTGGCCATTAGTCACCGTCAGTTAAATGCTGATGTGGCTAATGAAAATATCTAATCATCCATTTTTAACCCAAAAATATTCAAACTTGACCCACCACCTCAGCAAACCCACCATATCATAAAACAACTCAACTTACACTCAACCCCTGACTCGACCCATGTTCTTGACACCTTCCTCTCGCCGAGACTCGGCTTCCCGCCCCAAACCCTCCTCGTCACCGGCGTCGCTTCTCTGAGATTGAACTACCCTCAATCTCCAACAACCTCTGAAGATCCCAATCGCCACTGTCTGGTTTGAGTTCAGGGTTCGCGAGAAGCACGTCGTCCAACTGTTGAAGAATTTCTTGAACATTCCATTGGAGCATATCGAATTGTGCAAACCGAGACACAATAAGATCCTCCATTCCATCCAAATGTGTAGTAATGGTATCGAATTGCTGGATATGCCCCTCGGAGCGAGCCATCAATTCTTGCAATTGATTGGATTGAGCTCAATTCTGGTCTTCCAAAGTCGGGAACTGCTTGCTGAGGGCATATTTGGCTTCAATAGTACGAGTGGAGAAGACATCAAGGCGATCATCAAGCTGACGCACAGTGGTCATAGTGTCAAGTACAGGGCTCTGATACCAAATTGTGACTCTCTGACTTGATCGTCGATGTTTTAGCAGTGTTTGGCAGCTGAGAAAGGAATAGAACAGGAGGGGGGATATGACCACTGTGCGCCATAAATTAGAGAGAGATATATAGAGAGACAGGAGGGGGGGATTGGAGAATTATGTTATTAGAGATAAGATTGTCAAGAAACAGTTGATCCCAATAACTCGAGTTGTTGGAAGAAGGTTATGCTGGATCTTATACCATTCTCTAACACGCCCCCTCAAAAACGAAAGCCAACCCATGGGCTTGAAGTTTGCACAGGCCCACCATACCATGTGCATTGAAAGACAACGGTTAATATTGGGGGTCGTGGAGATTCGAACACATGACCTTTCGGTTCTAGGCTCTGATACCATGTCAAGAATCAGTTGATCCCAATAACTCGAGTTGTTGGAAGAAGGTTATGCTGGATCTTATACCATTCTCTAACAAAGATGACTGTTACAACAAAATGGCGGGCTACTTATAGCCGTTGGCCAATTATCTAATTCACTCCCTAACTTTTGATTTTATTCAGTTCTATACAACTGTACTTCTTTCTTTTGAACACAAAGTGCTACTTAACCCAATCGTCCCCACCTAGGCAAGAACGATTTCGACATGCTCACTAGTCGATCTTTACATGCACACAACCAAGTGGTATAATCTGACTTCCATAAAGGGGACAAGATCATGGATAGAACCTGTCGAAGGTTAATGCACCCTGTGTGGTGTGTTCCCAGTGCAAAAGGAATAATGGTATTTGTCAAGAATATGGGAATCCAGGAGGACACACTGGTTGCATATGAAATCCTAATGGCCTCCCTTTCTAAAAATATAGGCCACCAGCCCTCATTTTGGGTAACGTCCTCCTTTTTTTTTTTTTAAACCGACAGATTAAATAAAAAAGTTGCACGGTCTAAGACAGAGTTTATAATCTTTGGTTATCAATAGTTGCATATCAAGATTTAGACTTTTGTTTTAAGTGAGGCCAGATCTAAGGGGTGATATCAAATGGGCTTTTTATTTTTGCTACTTCTGTCATTAATTTTTATCTTCTTGTTTCTAACGTGAATTTTTTTAAAAAATGTGTTTTTTATGACCTACAAAATTATATCTATTTTCAAAATATTTTAAGAAATTAAATTTAGTACCACCCATACCACTTGTTACCACCCTAGTATCATCTTGGTTTTCACCCAAATTTTAAAAAATAATTTCAAGAATAATAGTTCCTCGTGATCTATTGAATTCAAAAGTTCCAAGACCCAATATAACATTGCCGCCTCCGACCCCACATGTCAATATTTAAATTCAAACCAATATGGAAATTCAAATCCACAAAATTAATAAAAAGCATCCTCGGCTGTAGCCAATTCATGTCATAAGGTATATATAGAAACACCGTTACTATTATATTTCATTTCTACTTTTTTTTTTAAATAAATTATGACAATGCGGACAATTAGTTTCTAGAAATTAATGGAAGACTTAAATCAAGTTTCCAAAAAAGTGGAAGTAAAATATGGAATTCTGCAATCTTCTATCTTTATTGCTTCCTATATAAACGAACAAAATAATGCTCTTGTTATCTCTTGAATCACATATTGAAATCTCATAGAGAAACAACAACAAAAAAAAGTTCATAATTTGATCAATTTCCCTATCAACACTAATGGAGAAAACTTGGTTCAAGTTGTTTTTCTATGTCATGCTTTTGATTTTTGTTGTTTCTCGTAAGTATAGTTTTGTCTTTGTTGTATGATTGCACATAAGTTTGTAGTTTTATATTATTTTTCACTACCACAATGATGAATTAGTATTTTCACTAATATTATTGATTATTATCCAATTAAATAAATTGGACACTACAGATGGGAACAATAAGCAAATTGGAGTAGAAGGAAGATACGCAAGCAAACGGTGTCTAAGTCCGGATGATTGTGCTTCTTGGGGCCCTCAGTGTCATTGTAATATGGGACTTCATTTGTGTCTCTGCAATGTACCGCCAACTGCGAGCCTTCATCAAAATTTCAAGCAACCTGAAGAAGGATATTAAAAAATATGCATATCATATCTATGAATAAATTAAACGAATGATAGTGAATCATGAGTGTTAATGTGCAATTACCTTTGGAAGACAGATTAATATTGCATAAAGTGGATAGCTCTACTTTTGGTTTCAAGGATTTCATCTGTTTACTTGCTCTCATAACAAATTTTGGTGCTTCAGCATCCTTATATTGAGAACATCATTGATTAAAACCAACAATTACAATTATCTTATCTATAGATGACAATTCAACCAGCACCAAGGCGTACCCAATGTAGTTCAATTTGGGTAAAAGCGGATAAAATCCGACTCTGACGGATTTTGAGTCGGATACAGATCAAACTCGCTTTTGGAATTGACGAGTTGGATTGGAGCGGGCTTCGCTAAAACAACTTGCTTTCCATCAGACACACAACCGGGGGAAAAAGTAATATTATTTTGCATATAATCCTAATAATATGAATAATTTATTAATGACATTGATTTTTATGGAAATATAATTCTAATAATATGAATAATTTTTAATTTTATTTATTTTATATCAATATAGTTATAGAAAATATATTTGTATAATCTAGGAACATTGGTTTTCGGAAGAATTATCCAGAGTTATGTTTCTAAACTCTTGAGCACTCATGCATCCGAGGAACCCATTGCAGCGGCCACTAGGGGTGTGCAATGGTCCGGTCCGTACCGGACCACACCGGACCAAACCGTTGTTAAGATCGGACCGGACCACACCGAGTAAAATGTGGTCCGGTCCTTGGTCCTCATGAATTTTATAATTACTGAAGAAATGGTGGACCGAGCTCATATTTGGACCGGACCGAACCGGACCAAATGGACCAAATGCAAGAATGGTCCGGTCCTTGGTCCTAACATGTCTTTCACTAATGAACCGCGGTTCTCATGAGTTTGGTCCGGTCCGGACCAAACCGAACCGTTGCACACTCCTAGCGGCCACTACAGAAAAGTTTCATTCCCATTGCAGTGTCTGTCTGTTGATTCTGTCTGTAGCAATTAATTATGCCTTTTTCCTCCCACCATGTCTCAAGTACACCATGATTACTTGACTCTGCGTGTTTTAACATATGGCCAGTGAGCCACAAAATATCCATCATATTAAACCGGTTGCTAGTCTTTGCCTGCAAGTCTCCAATGGAGACCATATTTGAATTACGGGCATTCATTCAGATCAGACCATATATACGGTCTACGGTCTAGATCAAGATACTGAAGTATAGACCAAAGACTAGAACACGCTTCTGGGGTCTAGTCCGGTCTGGTCTAGATAGACCACATTGAACGAAAAAAGAAAATTTTGTTTAGTCAACCACGTGGAAGATTGAACAAATAATTGAGAAAAAATGTTGGTGTTTGCCTTAAAACATGCATGAATAAATTTGACACCCTAAATCTTAGTAAATACAAAGATAGAAATTCAAAACATCCTAACTTGCACCATAGCATCATAAACATTAACATAATGTCATATAGAGACACGATAGTCTCTACTCTCTAGTAAAATGTGATTGTGAATGAAGGAGGGGAAGAGATTCTTGAAAAGGGGTGAGACTTGGGTCTCGTTGGGGAAGTTGGGAGAGTGGCTGAGTGGGTTGCTAACACGTATTGGGAAGTCGACTGGGTCTACGGTTTGGTTCGATAAACCGTGTTCTGGACTAGAATAGATCAAAACATCAAAACATCATATAATACAGGACATGGCCAAACCAGAACATTCTTAACAGTCTACGGTCCAGATCAAACTGTGCGGTCCAGTTTGGTTCAAGATTTTTCAGACGGTTTGGTCTATTTTCCCAGCCCTACTAGTAAATTAGCCATGCATTCAATTACCTAATATGCTTCATGTTAATAAAATATGTCATAATATTGTTTCGATTGGCCAACTCATTGACGAGAATTGCTCAATTTTATTCGCACCATTTTGGGTGTTTTGTGCAAGATCTGACGATGGGGAGGCCGATCGTAAGAGGGAGTAAGTCTGGTCATACTTTTACATTGGAGGAGCCCCTCGTGTCAATTGGGATCGTTAACTATCGAGTCATCGTCCAGCTATCATGTGTCTATTGTGTTTTGTTCTCAAAGTGTCTCTCCTCTTGTGGTTTTCTTGGCAAATCCGATAGTCATTGACATCTTTGGCATTATCACTTAGTTCGTACAAATTACAGTCGCTTACGCTCTATGTTCAAACAACAATTACTTGATACACACTACCGTATCGTTACAAATTAAAAAATATTGTATACCATTTTGTACAAAGTATAAAAAAAGTTCAAAATTTGTGACTTTCACATGTTTTTTCCTCGTTTCCGACATTTTCCAACATAACAATACTAAAGTACTAAACCGGGTGTAAGTTTTGGGGCTCAACTCGCGTTTCGTTTCAGTGGCTGCAGGATCCCTAGCCGCCAAGAGCCCAAGACCCTATTGTCTTCTCCAAATAACCAGAGGATTTTTCCCGAGTGACTCCGGCGACGAATTCCGGCCGACAACCACCCGCCACCCTCCTCCGAAAATCCTCTCACCGCCTCGGACTTTTCTCGGGCCAGCTGTTTAGTTCGGACTTCAGCAAGTTCTGCTCTGAGTTCCCCACTGTTTCTTTTTTCTTCTTTTCCCATCAATTTCTGTGGTTTAGGGTAAGAGCTCTAGTTCCATTGCGTCGATTGGAAAGAAATTTCAGGTCAAGGTTCGAACTTTTGAGTTTTCTGAAGATTAGGGTTTGAATTGCTTCCTTAGACTTACATCCCCAAAATGGACGGTGAGGAGGTGCCGGCTTACCAGCCTGACGTCGGATTCGAACAAGATACAAGAGAGCCACTTTTTGATCTTACCAGTGCTCGCTCTAGTTCAACAGAGCTTTGGCTTATCCAATGGCCGCCCCACGAAGTACGTTTCCCTCTTCTTCTCCTGTTTTCCGCCCGTCCTTTCTTGCTTTAGTCTATACGTGTAATTTGCAGTTTTCTCGTGTATATATATTGTAGCTTCCTGATATCCACGGCAAGGAAGTATGCATTACATTCGATCAAAATGGTAGCTCGGGAAGCTTCGAGGATCTATCAGGTTTTCCATCCATCCTTTGGACTATATACTCTATCAGCTCTGCCTCCCAAATTATAGGGTTCCAATGTTCAAGTTGCTGTCTTTGGCAGGGAAAATGTATGATATAGTCGGCACTGATGTAGAGCGAGATGCAGCAGTCTTCATGTCCTCTGGTTCAGAGACCGAGATCGGTAAGCCTTCCCTATGTTCACTTTCTTTGACATTTATTGAAGCAATGCTTTATCTGATATGCGCGATGGGATTTAGACAACTGTTTGTGTTCGCCTTTGGAAATTGTATGGTCCTCTAATCCTTGTTAGGTAACTGGCTGGTTGGTACAGTTTAGTGTAGCATATCTCTGGCAAAGAGTAGAGAGTAGGGAATGACCGAGTAATACGCTATGCCATCTTTGTGACTATAAAATTATCACCGTAGAGTAGTAAATCAAGGTGGTAATGACATAAGATCTGCAAGGGTATTATTTCTCTTTGATGGTTTGTTTTCATCCTGTTTTACTTCGTTGAGCTATCGCGGCTCCTATTGAAATTATCATCTTATTTTGCTGCGCAAGGCAAATAACAGAGGAACTAGAGAGAAAGAGATGGTGAGGGAGAAGCTTAGTTATATTTCTAGTGATATGCACCTTTCGCTGGTTCATTGCTGAGCTTGGAGAAACAATATCTCGGCTTTTATGTACAGAAACCTTATTGCCGATGTTGTGACTATTTAAGGTTGTCACCATGCTGCCCCCCAGGATAAAGAAACCTGTTATCTGTAAGCTTTGGTTTGAAGCGTTTCTCCTTATATGATGTCATTTAATTTGATTGAACAGTTGGGAATATTTCTCACCGAGTATCCCTGGTGCACTTTCCCGACCCAAAGGAAATCGAACAGAGAGTTGCTGAGAAGAAGTCAAAAAGGCTGTATCAGATGACGTCATCGAAGATAAATTCTTCACACCATTCCTCAGGTGTTACAGAAAGTAGTAGGCTGAAGCACTCAACTTCATCAAGGGGACCTGCAGCCTCAACTCATACAGGCAGGGAAGGGCCGAGCGCTTCTAAGAGAAGGCACGTTCAGAAGAGCCCTGGATCAAAAGGTGGATCTTCTCTGGACTCCAAACGACGTCAGAGTTCTTCCAACTACATTTCCGGGACTTCAGAACACTGAAGCTAAATTGTTGGAGGTAAGAAAACGGAGATTTATGCAATGCTTTATGCAATGCTCTTGTTCATTTCCGAAGCATGAAGAGAAGTGATGAGCATTTTGTTTGTTATTGGTGATGTACGTTAGTCGAGAGATTTAGGAAGCAAGATTTTTTATGGATGATGATTCTTCTTTTGGTAGTGATGAATGCATTGTACTTTCTGCATTTGGATAATTTTTTATCATAAGCTACTCAAACAAACTCATGCTCGAAATGACATCAGGATTCAAATGCGAAGAATATGCGACCTGCAACCCAAACATTATTACTTCAATTGTTAGATCAGCCTCTACATGGACATTTGTATATATGCGAGTGATCAAGAGTGGATGACACATTGCTGATTTGCGCATGCAGTTTACCGTCATCGAGAAAGGCTAGCTGGTAGTATGCTAGTAACAGCATTTTGGATGTGCGGTTTTCAAGCTCCGACAAACGACGTACAAGATCTTGCGTTTGATGCATCCTCGTGGAGGTGGAATGATTACCACACTAGTCTTCCTCCGGTCACCGTTGATATTGCTTGCAAACACTGTGGCTGCCAGCGGATTAGGATGTTTAACAACTGTTGTCTCCTGCCGATCCATGTTTCTGCACTAAGCTATGCTCCCTCACTGAATGTTGAATGATCGAATGAGGAAGCATGCGATAATATATATATTATAGATTGTATTCAGATGCTTGGTAATATAGATATTTCAGTTGGTGAAGGAGAAATCTTCAAGAGAACGAAATTGGAATGATTTGTACGTAGCGCCAGGGAAGGAACCTTCCTGCTGCGCCCTTTGCATAGCAAGTTTTCTTGCTACTATTGGGCCATGAGCAGCGGCTGCGTGCATGCTGTAGGCATTTGTAATTGGACAAAGGAAACTTCTCCCAACTTTTGATCGCACTCATTGATGAGTGAAATAAAAGCACAGATCACAACTACCTATGTAGACGATGAAGTCGTATCAAGTTCTTCTCGAACTGCTGAATAATTCAATCATTGAGTGAAACTGAAACCACCTTATTCCTAGTTTGTTGAATGAGTGGAAAGCAGACTTCGTTCAGCTTAGACTACAACATCAAAAGCATATGCCAAGGGCAACTGATCATCATCAGTGAACATCCACATGCCTGTACAAGAAAAGGCTCTCGGAGGGTTCGATCTGGGTTGGTAACTCTTAATCACCAGAAAGCAACAGCGAGACATTATCCATTTGTTAAACAAAATGAACAAGTTTACTCGACGTGCTTCTCCTTTGTTTCCGACATCTCTAGCTTCACAGTAAATGAACTTGGTTTACAAAAGAATGATCAGATTGTTATTCCGTCACAAGGCTTGTTGCACTCTGATACAATGGGATAACAGTCATCGAGTGATCAATTTCTCTAGTATGATATATCTGCAGTTCGAGTTTTGGTGAAGCAGCAGCTGCTCAGAGTAAGAATGCAAACAATGCCTGGAAAATGGACCTTGAACGTGAGCGATTCCTCGGACCGCCTTTGTTTTCGGCTAGAAGGCCTTTGTATTGAACTCCCTGTCTCCCCTGATAAGAGCAAATGAAGTTGTCAACATAAGAAGTAACAAAACTATCTATCTAGGAGTTGATTGTGCCTTTTGGCATAACACAGAATCAAAATCGGTTCAGTTTATCAATGCGAGTCTAAGTCTTGACCTGAGCAGCATCCTTGAGGGGTCCCCAACATTCCATTCTATTGTACTTTGGTGAGCTAGAATGGAAATAAACCCATACTAAAGCATCATTTAGCTCCGGATTCGCCTGAAAGAGTGCTGCATCGCCATATAACAAAGCTTGGAGTACCTGCCATTCACATATGCGAAACAGATACTCATTAAAAGCTGAATCAGCCATAAAATATGGAGTGCAGCCTCATTATTCATTTCAAACATTCCTATAAGCAAAAGGCACTGCACAATGTCACAAAGTCATGGTAGCAGTAGCTAGACGAGTTTTGTGAACTAGCAAAAGCTTGTCTCTTGGAACGAATAACTCAGGACGCAGGGACAAACTTACCAGAGGCATTTCTTTGGAGAAAATGTGATATCTAAGCTCGGCAGCAAGGTCGAATGTGAGATTCGGACCGCTGACATAACAGTGAATGTGCAGGCACAGCTGTCCTTCCAATTTCTTCCATTCAACAACCACATCATCCTTGCTATACCACCCACTTAGCTGCCCTTACATAAACACGAGTGACTTCAGCATATAAAATTCATCATCCTAAAGCTCAAAAGTTGCAGCAAAAGGGTTCATTCACTCGAGAAGAAGAACCCTATTTCAGTTACCTGGTCCAAGTTGATGACACTGGAAATCGTCAATGTTAAGTTTGCAGTGAAGTCACAGTGAGACAGAATGTAAGTTCTAGGGATGATTCTCGAGTAGTCATTCTCCCTTCCTACCAGCACCACTTTGAGCTTTGAAGCATCGAATCTTGCTGACGGACCCAGAAGCCTGACTGCCTGGCAACACACCCAATCCGGCAGTTAGCAAGTTTACCCTAAGAAAAGCTTCGAGCTTTATGGAAACCCAGATGCCAAATTTTGACATCGACGAGCGAAATTCAGAAGAATTGGCTTGGCTTACACAAAATGGACCCAGAAACAAGATGAACCAGAAAGCCGAAAAGTACCTCTGAGACGAGGCCGTTGTACGAAGATCTGGAGGCGTCGGCGTTAATGGAGGACAAAGCGAGTGGGAAGAATCTCAATTTACGAATCCTGAAGGGACTAGGACTGTCATTGTTGTGATTGGTGAGGAATGAAGAAGAGGGCGGAGAAGGAGCAAAGAAGGCAGAATGACATGCCATGAGAGAGGCATAACAAGCTCTGGCCCTTAGTCTTCTTCATCTTTTGCTCCTCATCGTCATAATCATTGTTCCTTCTTTTTCTTCTTCTTGTTCGTTTTCTGACCACAAAGCTTTGCAGCTCCTAATGGATTTTTGTTGGAACTTGGAACAAAGGGAAAAGGGGAAATAGAAGTATGTGGTGAACAGAGGTCGACGGTGGCTGTGGGAAGGCCTGTGGTGTGGTGGGACTCTGCTTGTGGTGCGAGCCCACATCTCCAAAATCTTATTCAACCTGTTTCCTCCACATAATTGTTCTTCAATAAAACCGGGGGAAAAACTTAAACTGTTCCCAGAATTTCATAAAATAATCACAACAATAGTAACTAAGAGCCACATCTGGACTGGAGTACTTCATAGTTAATAGTAATAATAATATGGTTAAACCAAAATTGTTATGGTGAGTCAGAATTAAATAAACGCTTATTAAAGAAAAACATATGAAAGTACTTATCGATAATAACGTATGTGAGTAAGAAGAGAAGGAAGATGTTAGAGATCTTCACTCTTAGAGATTTAATTTTGGAACCTGTATTTTTTTTTAAGGGAACTAAGTACTTGTTCTAATAGCCTAAATACAACTAGTTGCAATGTTGAATGTACATACTACATAGCCATATGAAATGAGAGATCTATTTATAAAGAGCAAAGTCTCGAAATTCTTCTTATTAGCATGACCAATTATAAATGGGTTATGCTTACCATGTATACCCACAAAAATCTGGGTTTTAATTAAAATAATTCTATATCTGACAAAAGAGATGCAATATTGATGGTTTTGATAAAATGTGACAGGAAGGAGTTTGGATTTGTATTTTGAGATGGAAACTTTTGTATTCGCTCTGGGCCAAAGCTTGTAGTCGCGTATGTGGTTTTGTATCTTTTTTAAAAAAAGTGTACTAATGCAGGTAGGTGACACTTCTATACATGAAACTTTTCGCTTATTTTTTTCGATGTAATATTTGGATAGCAGACCAACAATTATTTTTATAACGTGGAAATAAATATAATTAAAAATCTTGATGTTGTTATGATGATTAAAATGATGAACATGAGATTATGCACCTGCAATTGAGAGTGTACTATTGACGTGAGTCCATGATATTATACGAGCACGTGCAAAATTAGATGAAAAAATTAGGTATAAATACTCGAATTAATTTAACAGGTTTGTTAGTCTCAAACTTATCATAAATATAATCTAGCATATGGGGAATGTATGGTTTGATATTATAAGATATTATATATTATCTTTTGTAAAAAAAAAAAAGGTTTGATATTATAAGAAATATCATAATCTGATTAAAACCAATAAGCTGAAGACAAGACACAATGTTTACGTGGTTTTCCCGTTCGACGTTTGCATTAAACGAGACTAGTTCACGGAGAACAGGGCTCTCGAGTTCTTTTATGATGATGGTGATGATAGTCTTAGCTAGCTGCTGCTATGCTAGCTCAGCCTTGTATAGCCACTCTCCCCTTTACATAAGACAACTAGGATTCGAGTATAAGGCTTAGGCGTAAACACACAATTACAAATCAATCCTTAACTTGACAAAGATAACAAGGGACACGCACAACACACGTGCATATGCATTGTGATAATTAGGCTGCATTACATATTGCAGCTAATCCAGTTTTCCATGAACGTACTAAACACGTGGAGATGGATTGCTATTTTGTTCGTGAAAGAGTCACTTCATCTGAGATTGAGCCGCGACAAGATTCCCACACAGGTCGCCGACATTTTTACGAAGGGTCTTGGAGCAGATCAGTTTACTTACTTAGCTTCCAAGCTTGGCCTTCACAACATTCACGCCTAAGCTTGAGGGGGAGTATTATGCAGCAACGAGAGTGCATGGTCATGCATGTGTGTTGTGCATGTCCCATTTGTTATCTTTGGCAAGTTAAGGATTGATTTGTAGTTGTGTGTTTAAGCCTAAGCCTTATACTCGAACCCTAGTTGTCTTATGTAAAGGGGAGAGTGGCTATATAAGGCTGAGCTAGCATAGCGGCAGCTACCTAAGACTATTATCATCATCATAATAAAAGAACATGTGTGTTGTGCGTGTCCCATTTTCTTATCTAGATCAGAGAGGCTGGGTTTTTGGGTTCCAAAAGACCCCAGGAGGTGCTCTAGAGGAAGAGGAATGTTGTGATCCCTATGGACATGCATTATTATTATAGGGATCATTTTGTAATTTATTATTTTTATTTTTTCCCACTTCAGCTGAACGTGTGTAGAGGAGTAGGGTTTTGGTACCTCCTCTGTACAAATAGGGTTCTAGCTGCTGCGGCTAGCCCTAAGCACCAGAAAACAATAATAAGAAATCTCTGAGAGCGAGCAGCTCTCCGTGGACTAGTCTCGTTCATGTCAAACGGGGAAACCACGTAAATCTTGGTCTCGTGTCCTTTATTCTTCCCGCATTCGTCGTATTTTACATGGTATCAGAGTTGTGAGTAGATCCACAGCGTTCAATCATGAGTTCAGATGATGAAGCTAGCAAATCTACCCAAACCGGTAAAAGTCCTCAATCATCGACGACTACGGGACTCAATTCCCAGGTTATGTTGCCGTCGCACCTTCTCCTCCATCCGTCGGACAGCACGAGTAACCTCTTTGTTGATGAGCTGCTTTCCGATGCCAATTATGGAGAATGGGTCGTGGATATTACCGATTCACTTATTGCTAAAAATAAGATGTGCTTTGTGGATGGGAGTTTGCCTCCTGCCAATTCCCCGGCCGAAAAGGAAGCTCTTCTTCGTTGCAACGCTATGGTGAAAGGGTGGTTGAAGACTTCGATGACCAAAGATGTTCGTAGTAGCGTCCGGTTCGCGTCGACTGCACGTGAGATTTGGATTGACCTCCAATCCCGATTTGGCCAAGGCAGCGCCGCCAGGCTCTATGAGCTCAAGAGCACGATCGTCCGATTGCAACAAGAGAAGGCCTCGGTTTCCTCGTTCTACACCAAGTTGAGAGGTTTGTGGGATGAGATCCAATCACTTACTCCTTCATTGGCTTGTACTTGTTCAGGTTGTACATGTGATGTCCAGCGGCGACAGAGAGACGTCCGTGAAGGCGAGCAATTGTTTGACTTTTCAATGGGATTAGATGACGTGTTCTCCACCGTCAAATCCCAAATATTGGCCATGCGGCCAACCCCCACTTTAGCTGAGGCATATCAGCTTGTTACCCATGATGAACAGCAGCGTATCATCTCGTCCAGTCGGCGTCCGCGTCCTGAAGCTGCCGTTTTCCAAGCCCATGGTGAAAAGAAGCGGGATAGGCCTTCCCTCCTTGCTGATCCTGACCGAGACAAGGATAGGGATGCTGATGGAAAGCCCAAGTGCACTCATTGTAAGCGCACAGGCCATTTTAGGGAAACATGTTATAGGTTGATTGGTTTTCCTCCCAAGAATGGTGACAAAGGGGACTCAGCTCGTAGGCGTGCAGATCGGGGAGCTCGTTCATCCCCCCAAGCTGCCCAAGTCGATGCCGCCGACAGCCCATTACCTGGACTTTCTGCTCGTCAATTTGATCAACTTAAGGCTCTCCTTGCTGGCGATCTATTACATCATTCACAGGGTTCGGCCGAACCATCGTCCAATATGGCAGGTACATACTCTCCCAGTTCTACTTCTTGGGTTATTGATTCGGGATGTAACGAACACATCGTTAACCATGCTTCTTTATTGGATTCGGAGTTGGATTCGAGTCCGGCTCTCCAGGTTAAAATTCCCAATGGTACAGGTGTTTCCATTCGCAGTATTGGGACAGCTAAACTTTCTGATGATCTGTTATTGCGTCGTGTGCTTCATGTTCCTGATTTTCAATGCAACTTACTGTCGGGCAGTCGGTTGACAGCTGATCTGCCGGTTGCATTAATATTTATGGGTGACTTATGTGTGATCCAGGACCTACCATCCAAGAGGCTGATTGGGATGGGTAAGCACGTCGATGGGTTGTACTTCCTGAGGTTATTCACGCACGAGCACCCAATTGCACACTCAGTTCGTCGATCTCTGGATAGTACTGATCTGTGGCACTCACGTCTTGGCCATCCTTCTGCTGCTAAGCTGCATTCTTTGGAGACTTTGCTGCATTGTTCTTTTGTTCACAATAAAGAGCCCTGCCGATCCTGTTTACGGGCCAAGCAAACTCGGAATTCTTTTGGGACTAGCACTATTAAGACTAAATCGATTTTTGATCTTATCCACATTGACATTTGGGGGAGTTATAAGACGGCGTCCATATCAGGAGCGCATTATCTTTTAACAATTGTGGATGACTTTAGTCGTGCTGTTTGGGTTTTCTTGTTACGTTTTAAATCGGATGTTGCTCGACATTTAATCTATTTTTGCAACATGGTGCAGACACAGTTTGGTGCTCAGGTGCGGCGCATTCAGGCCGATAATGGTGCTGAATTTTCTTGCCATGAACTTCTTTCTTATTATGAACAGGAAGGCATCATCTTGCAGACCTCCTGTACAGACACTCCTCAGCAGAACGGTGTGGTCGAGCGTAAACATCGTCACTTATTGGATACAGCGCGTGCCCTACAATTCCACGCAAATTTGCCGATCAAATTTTGGGGTGAGTGTGTCTTGACTGGAGCATATCTCATCAATCGATTGCCTCTTGTCTCCATTGGCAATCGGTCCCCTTTTCAAGTGCTGTTTGGAAAAGACCCGGCCTATGATCATCTTCGCAGTTTTGGGTGTCTGGTTTATGCTCGCGATAATCACCATGGCCTTCATAAATTTGGTACTCGTGGTCGTGCGGGTATATTTTTGGGGTATCCGGCTACTCAACGCGGGTATCGCGTCTATGACCTCGAGACTAAACATATTTATACTTCCCGTGACGTGAAGTTCCTTGAGGATGTCTATCCCTATCGTGATCTTGCTGAAGATGGCCTCACTCCAGTTACAGTTTCTACACCGAGGCTTTTATCCCTTGTGGCTCACGTTGATCACGTTGATGAGGAGGCTAATTCTTCCTCTCCTCCTGATGCCCATGATCAGCCCACTCCCCATGCAACGTCACCCCATGCAGCATTTCCCTCGTCCCCTTGCCTTTCACCTGCTGCCGAGTCCTCTTCAAGTCCCATTTCCTCGCCCAGCTTCCCATCATCCTCTTCCAGTCCAGGCGCTCCGAGTTCCACTCCCGCTGCCCCTCCAGCTCTTCGTCGAGGTGATCGGGTTAGAGTACCTCCCCTTCATTTGCGTGAT